AACGGTCTTAGAATGGCATCCAAACCAGGTTGAGGCTTGGGGATTTCTACAATTGCAATGCTATTAATTACTTACGAAAAATCCTGAAGAAGAGAGAAAAGCAATCGACATTAAACAGATTCTTTAACCCTTTCAAACTGAAAAAACATGACTAATAAAAATGCAAGACTGTGTACGTATGTATTTTTATTATTATATATAAATAAACGTAGTAAGAAAGTATATATTTTTTATTTTGGGGAGTCTCCAGAACGAATTAATTAAATTTCCATTAAAACCTATGGTAAATCGATAATCGGTTAACGAACAATTCGGATAGCGAACAAAGCCTGGGAACGGATTATGTTCGTTAACCGATCACCCACTGTATTGTGATACTTGGATGGTATAGAAGGCTGTAATTTCATTGGTCACGTAGACAGGAATTAATGTTTTTCAACAGAAATTAGTTGTTGAATTCCACCTGCATAAGATAATTCAAGACATGCAAACTTTTTCTAATGTTAATTTTAACATATCATTCGCAACTGAATATGCAATTGTAATTGGCCAACCAATCAAATTTCATGAAAAATGGACAAAATATTTAAACTCTGCATTCTCAAACTTCTGAAAACATATTTTGTGCTCACTGATAATTTTCATATTCAAATGCCACCATTCTGCTGATCAGATAGAAAGGGGACTTGTTACAGGTAGGAGGTTGAAGTTAATTTCCACCAAAAGTTGTTGGATGAGAGGATAGTCTCTGAAAAATTTCATTGCATTTGTTCAAACTGTTGAAACATATGAAGAACAAACCAACAAACTTTCTTCTTTATATATTTTATGGATAATTTTAAATAACTTGTTTACAAATGAGGTTCTGCAGCAAATGAAAATAGAGTGCCTTATGAATAGAAAAGTTGAGTATAGAGAGCATGTTGAATTGAAATTGGGGAAAGCAAATTAGATGAGTGATATGGAGGAGGTTTGGAAGCATTTCCAGTCGTGTATGGTAGAAGCAAAAGAGGTATCTGGTGTAACAGAGTAAGCCATGAGAGAAGGACTGTGTGGGGAAATGACATAATTGAGCAAGCAGCAAAAGAGAAAAAGGCTGCATACATGGCCTGACTGAATGACAGTGTGAGTGTGGATGAGTACAAAGTGAAGAGAAGCAGCTGCGTGAGTGATTAAGGGAAGTAATGACAGAGTGAATGAAGAATGGACTGAATAATAGAGGAAAATAAAACTGTCCTGGAAGCAAATGAAGAATATACTTGGCAACAGAAAGAAAAGTGCATTGTGTGCACAGTACAAAGTGCACACAATGCACTTTGTACTGTGAAATGGTGAGATGTTATGGGATGAATGTGAAATGCAAAATAGATGGTGTGAATATTTTGAGCCTGTTGAGGAGCAGTGGAGATAGCATAAATAGAGAAACAATTACAGAGATAAGTGAAGATAGTGGTGAATGTGGCCCTATTCTTTTGAATAAGGTTAGGAATGCAATAAGAAGAATGCAAAATGGAAGATCTGGTCTGGATGATGCGATTGAAGAAATGTTAAAATTTTGAAGAATGGATTCTGTGACTCTGCCATGTGTTGGAAGAAATGCCATGAATCAGACTATTCATGTAAGCTGTCACAAAATTCATCATCTCTCTTTTTCATTTTCAGCATTGTGTAACAACTCTCTAGAATCCTGATAAATGCTTCTTCAAAATGAGTTTCCAGCAGATGTTCAATGTCTCGAATTTTTGCATTTTAGCAAACCTCCTTTGGTACATCTTCTGGTATCAAGTCAGAGATTTGTTTTCCTTTTTCATTTACCATTTTATAATATAAATTTTTCTATATTTGGATTATAGAACATATCCCTTCTAATAGTGCATCCACTCTACATTTTCTCAATGTTTAGCCTCTTGCTTCTGATAGTTGTCAGATACACTTCTACACGATAATCTTCATCCAAACTGAAAACTGTTGTATGACTTATGAATAATTTTCAGTTTTTTTTTTCTTATAACAGGAAGATTTCTTTCTTCTCAGTAAGAGCATAAGCTTGATCCAAAGATAGAAATGAATATCTTTTGATTGAAAAATAATTTCTGTTTTCTTCCACATTTGGAGGTGCCTTATTGGCCAGGAAATAGCTGCACGTTGCAATCTTTGAGCTGTTATTTTGTTTTGTGCACTCGTCGTCACTGCACCTAATTGTGGAAACAGAAGTTAGATCAATCTGAAAAAATTCAGTAATGAGTTGCTCAATTTTTCCAGCAACATTTGGTGCTGCCATCTGTTATGATGTTTTATTTTTTAAAAGTTTTTATATTTTTAACTATTATAAAATGGCAAAAACCTTAATTTTGAGGGTAGGAATGGGTTTTATAAAAAAATTGTAAGTGCTAATAATAAATAAAATCATCATTAAGTCTGACCCTACTCTGTAGATATTCATGATCCCTCTTATCTCCCCACCTCCTTGACTTTTAATCACCAAAATTTAACAGCATCAATCCCCTAATAAACAAATCTTGCAAAATATCAGGGAATTTTTGACAAAAAGCACAGGAGTTAAGCTTCAAAGAGATAAACAAAATCATGATCCCCCACACGCTGTAACTTTCTTACATACAGAAAAACCCCAAATTTTTTGCATTTCTCGACATTTTAAGGTCCTCTGAATCAAAAAATATAACATTTTTGAGAGGTCATTTTCTGACTGATTGCCATACTTTTTTCTGTTATATATAACAGCCAGGAAAATAAAAATACTCTAATAATAAGTTATCATTTTTTATTTTGATAACTGTTTATTTGCTTCTGCATCACCCATGAAAATTAATAAACGAATTCTACAGCAATTTTAAATTTATTCTAATTTAGGCACCAAATTAGTCTAGCATTTTTATTTTACTTACCTCTGTTTCTTTTTCACATTTTTTGTTTATAGTGTTAAATTTAAACTTCTCTTACCTCTTCTTACATTGCATTAGTTATTTAATATCAAAAATTTGAAATGAAATTTTTGGCAATTATTTTTTAAGCACAGAAACCACTTATTTTTATGCAAAATAGGTAGCTTTAACAGCATACTTTCTGTATCTTGTGATCTGTATTAATGTTTTCCATTAGTTAAGTGGATAAATTTTGAAATAAATGTAAGCATGGATAGGATGCAGTTTGAAATAAAATTCAATTTTCTACATTAAATTTTTATTCTACAAGCTTGTTTTTGAACGATGAAACATTCTTATTTTGATAGTTCTTTACATTAGTAATTTGTTAGCACAGATGATTAGAAAAAGTTTTTAAAAAGTTGGTAAGATGCAATTTGGATTGGTCTGCATTATATATGATTTATAATTGAAATCAAGTTTTAAAAGTTATAGAATTGTGATGTTTCTTAAATATTCTTAAATAAGATTTCATAAATAAAAATGAATAGCCCAGTTCATCTAGGATTATTTTAATTAAATAAGATTATTTTTTCATTTTGCTGTTAACTCTATTAGAACCCAATTAAGACTCGTATATTAGAGAGGTTGAGGCGCACATTTTAAACGTGTAAACGTGTACGTGTGACGTTCGGCGCCGCTTTCCCGTAAGCCTAAAAGTTTAACAATGGTGTTTGGATAGTCGGTGGAATCACGCTCGACATTCCAAACACCATCGTCAAACTTTTAGGCTTACGGGAAAGCGGCGCCGAACGTCACACGTACACGTTTACACGTTTAAAACGTGCGCCTCAACCTCTCTATTATCTTATAGAACTCCCATGAAATGATTTGAGTTTAGACCAAAATATTAAAGTATTTAATTCCATTGTTTTTCCTATTTCAATTATTAATATGCTACAGAATGCTCCAGTTTAAATATTGTTTTAAAATATAACTATATTTTCTTAATTTTATTATGTCCAATTCCCGTACAACAATAACATAAGTCAACTTACTCTTCAATAAAAGATCAAACAACTCAAAATATTCTTGGTTAAATTAAATTTTATTTTGGTCTGCAACCTAATTATCTGAAATTTACTTTGCTTTATATCTTTTAGCTTACATAAAATTACATAATAATTATTTTGTCAAAAATTAATTTATTTATATAATCAATTCTTTATTTACTTTAATTTTTATATGAAACTCTGAGTGAATATTACATTTTATACAATTTATAAAATTTGCATTTTCAGTTACAAGAGATTTCAGAGATATCAGTTCTGCAACAACAATTCAGAAACCTATAATTGTAACAGTCTCTGGAGCCCCAGGTACAATTACAACAAACAAACCTCAAGTGAGTATTAATATCTCAAGTATAACAATTCTTAATAAAAATACATACTGTAATTTAAATTACTTGCATCTTTATTTTTTTGAACAGTATTTGTAAAAACATAAAAATATGTAAAAGTGTAAAAATAGTTACTTGTTTAATGAAGTTGGCTTTAAATAAGATCATAATTTGTGGTTGAAAACATGAAAGTGAAACGTTGTCTTAAAAATTATATTTAGTTTTGTAAAAAGACAAGACTCACTTTTATAATAATAAAGCTTTATTCAACTCCTGCTTTGTATATATATATTATATACAGGATCAGAGCACCATCTATGGGAGAACCCACAATGCAACTAATATAAAATTAAAGATGAAAAATATTAAAATTATGTGGTTTATCATAACAGTAATAATAATTAACACTTTCTTTTCCTTAATAATATGTCATCTCACACTGGAAAATACTGTTAATCTGTTCCCTGATATTCCTGAGATATTTTGGGCTGAAACATGATGACCTTGATCAGTTGACCAGAGATATCTTGTTTTGGCACAGAACATTTTTGAAACTAGATGTCACTAGGCGTTATAATTTTTATATTAAAACTAACTTTTGAAATATAATTTTTTTTGTTCTTACATTTAGTAATATATCTATTTTGTCTGTGAAAAATAAAAAAAATAATTTTGGACGATATAATAGCCATGATTATTTTTTCAAAAATGTGTAATTTTCGTTATACTTAACATCGACAAAATGTCAACGTGGTGTGACACGCAACGGAGAAAAATTTCAATGTAGGTTAATATATTGTATTATATTACATCATATGTATGAAAGTAATAAAATATATTACTCATGTCAACAAATTATAAAATAAACTTGAACCATCTTTAGGTATTAAACATTGAATTGCAATCATAAAGTAAACAAAACTTAAACATGGGTCTCAACATTACTGATTGTGGATATCAGACCCCAAGATCCAACAGGGGAGGAAAAAGATCTTGGCCTCTCAGGTTATTAACCATGAAATCCTAGTACAATAAAAATCAGAATTAACATAGAAAGTCAATCAAAATTGAACATAGAATGAAGAACAAATAAAATCAAAAATGCAACATAGAACGAAGAACATTGATGAAGTAGAAAAATTAGAAGCCAAAAATATGAAATACAAATTGCAGAATTATGTGAAACAAAATGGAAGGGAATTGATGATTTTTACACTGGATAATTAGGATAATTCATAGTGGAAGAAAGAATGGAATTGCAATAATGCTTAACAAGGAATGGGCATAAAGTGTATGTAATGTATACCATGTAAATGATAGCAGTGTGGCGACCAATTTCGCACTTCGTCCGATCGCCACCAGAGGGAGTTCGGAGGTTTTAAAAGACCAATTCGAACACGTGCCTTCGTCCTTTTGTCGACTCCTCGTCTAGAGTACGGACTCCTATTCAATTGTGCTACCTGAACTCTTTTGTTGGCAACTAGTCGCCACAGCAGTATACCAACAGACTTGATAATAATTCAAGCATATTTTTCAACTTTTAACTCAGAGAAAGAAGCAATAGTAAAAATGTATAAAGACATTGAAGAACTGTTAGAATTGACAACAGAAAAGGACTTAGCTACTAATAAAGTGTGGATGAATGTTTGGTACAAGACTGTGGTCTCAAGAGGATCTCAGGAAATAGCTTACTGTCTGTTACTGCATCATTTTCAGATGCAGTAATAGACAGTTAGTTATAAAAGTACTCCAGAAACTGGGTTATACTATACTGTTGAAACTTCCAACCTTGGTATTCACCCAACAGAATGGTCATGTCATTATGAAAACTGTTTTACAATTTCTACACTTTGATGCATCCTGTTAGTTAATTTTAGAGGATTTTAAATTTTCATAAGCTCTTCTGTGCCAGACACATTTGAACACCAAAACATTAGACGTTCCATCTATTTGAAATTTGTGATCTGAAGTAGGTCTTAGAAGAAGACCGAAAATGTTCATTTTTCTGAACTTGCACCATTCTGCTGGTGAATATCAAGGTAAGGAGTTTCTCCAAGACGGTAAGTTATTCCACATAAAGTACAGTACATAATGGTATTCATTGACAGTTGCAGGGACAAAACTATAATTTTAAAGTAGCATTAACATGGATGAAAAGTACAATAGACTTTAGCAATCATTTCAGTGATTGATTATAAATTTCTTGTTTTGGCCACTTATACATGAAAAATTATTTTGATTTTGGAAATATTGAATCTCTTACAAAGAAATAAATTCACCTTCAAACTGGTATGACACCACTTGTACTGCCTAACAAAGAATAACCTTCAAAATCATACATTGCACAGGAAAATTTTCAATTAACAGTTCAGCTGGAAAAAGCTGTGATGAGAAGAAAAATAAATGAAGAGTGTTTATCAGTCAACTGGCTTCCGATGCAGTCAGTATATAAGGTTCAGAAAAGACACTCCCTATGTTATGTTTTATAAGGAAATTCTTAATCAAATCATTTAATTTCAAAAACTGTTGCTACTACCAGCAAAAGATGCTTTTTAACAATCATAAACACAAATCAAGCAATGATATCTTTTCAATGCATCTAGACCAGGGGTAACAAACCTACGGCAAATAAGGAGAAATCATCTAGCATCATACGATTTTGATTTATTATCTGTCTTTTTCAATCATCCTTTTTTTCAATCAGCTTTTTTATGTTTATTCTAATTATAGCATATTCCTTTAATTTCTTTAAATATTGTTATTCAAAGTCTGAAACTTTGGCATGCATAAACATCTTTAAAGTATACTTACAATATGGCACACAGACTCAAAAAGGTTCACCATCCCCGATCTAGACCAATAACAGAGACCAAGATAAGTGACATACTTGATTTGCTCTGGTACATTTATCCTGTGTACTACCAGTTGCACAGGATGAATGTACCAGAGCAAATCAAGTATGTCACCTTTACAGATTTCTAGCTCTGCACACTGTAGAAAAATCTAGAAATATAGTTTTGTATATCGTAATAATATTAGTCGTCGCCAGAGAGCTCTATAAAGTAGAGAAAAATCTATAAATTTGAAAACTATAAACATAAATTTAAATTTCTCAAAAAATAAGTAAACAAAATTTCAAAAGTCGCTACTTTTGGCTGATTTGTCTGCGGTCTCTGCTATCTCACTACGTCCCTCTAAAAGTCACCACGGTTGGGAACACTGGTGAGCAGACATCTAGGGTCTAAATAAAGCAAAATGTAATTGCCAATAAAAAGGAGGAAAAATTTAAGATTTAAAACTATAATTTCTTGTGAACAGCAGTTTGGGCCCCCCTTCCAAGTGGGCCCTGTGCGAATGCACCTGTTGCACCTGCCTAGTTACAGCTCTGAATGAAACTGTAATGTGTAAATTTTTACAAAAATAAATTATTTATGAAAAATAATAAATTATTTTGTGTGATTATTTCACTTTCCATAAAACAGAAAAAGTTAATTAATCTTTCATAAACATTTTTATAATTATATCATAAAAAACAATAATTATCTGAGCAGTAAACAAAATATTTTTGATTGTTCTGTGAATTTTTAAAATATCCTAATGAGGAGTTATCTATGCTTTGAATTTTTATATACATTTTGATAAATGTTTATGTATAATTAACTATTATTCTTGCATACACCATTTATTAGTGATGCATTATTGGAATGATTTGAATAATCAAATGTTTACTAGAATGAATCATTTGAAATTTGTAAACTTTTAGTTTTTTTTGTTTTGTTTTTTTTGTAAATTCTTGAATTTCTCAGATGTTGAAATTACATGTTAAAAACCTAATTTTAATTTCATTGACAAAAAATGTTTGAGACAATTTGATTTTTTTTAATTTTAAAGTTCAAACAAAGATTAGAAACAAAAAATTATACTTTATTGGAACTTTCCTTCTAGATATTAAAAACCCAAACCTTTTTGAGCCAGTAAGATTCAAATTGCTTCAGTTTTGAATTTCAAATAATTATTCTTTAATAGAAATAACTAATTATAAGAAATTTTAGAATTACAAAGTATTAATTTTTTAAAAAGTTGAAAGTTAAAATTAATTCAAAATAAAAATATTAAAATCTAATTAGATTTTTAATAATTGCAGTTAACAACTGTAACAAATGTCATTACAACTCCAATAGTGGTTGCACCTCACACATCAGGATTGTCCACACTTCCACTTGATAAATCTGCTGTTTCTAATATTGCTGCAGCTAATACTGTGCTAAATCAAACAACCCTTCGAGCTACATTGCCTGCAGTGCCTGCAGTTGCAAATAATACTTCCATACCAGTTGTAGTTGTTCCATCAAATGCATCTAAATCAGCAGTGCTATCATCATCATCCAATAATCCATCTCAGTCACCACTTTTAATTGTAGCCACTAGTTCACCTGTTTCAGCTGCTGTTGCAACTACTGTAACCTCCTCTAGTTCAGGCTCTTTTCCACCAACTTTAGTACCTGTTACATCAGTTACTATGTCATCTGGATTAAGGACATCAGTTCCTTTGCCTATTACAGTAACAACACCTGTTGTTGCTATTACAAATCATTCTGCTCCATTAATTCCACCAACTTTAACTCCTGTTTCTTCTCAACCTAAATCTTATCCTGTGACATCAGTTACATCATCATCAGTTTCTTTTTCAAATACAATTACAACTGTGAAAACAGACCCTTGTAGTCCAGATTTTGACCCGATTCAAGCTATGGATTGGAAAGATGGTGTAGCTACTTTGCCAGGAAGTAATCTTAAGGTAATTGTTTCTTGATTTATTCTAGAAATTAAATATCAGTAGTCACATAAAATTGATATTAGATGTTTAGTTTGCCAATTGTTCAAGATTTAAGTAAATAATTTATTTTAATAAAATTTAAAAAAAAATAACTACAAAAGTAATACAGGTATCCTTCGTATAACATGGTAGTTATGTGCTGAAAAAGTGTCGTGTTACACAAAACATGGGGTTAGGTTCCAAAAGTTAGCAAAGGAATACTATTCTTTTTCATTACTAAGAGAAATACATTTATTAAAGCAATCAATAATTAACTAACAGTCACAATTAAAAGTACAGTATTACAGTTTAATATTAATTTTAATTAAACAAGGATATTTTCTTTTTAAAAAGCATCATTGTCATCTGAGCTTTTTTGTTAATCTTGATCAGAAATATCAGTGACATCGTCATTTTTTTTATTTTTATCATACTTTTTTCTGGATGACAAAATAAAAATGTTATTAATCAAAACTTTGTTCTAGGGGATTCTTGTTTGTTCAGTCAAGTACCAAGTGATTTTTTTTTCCAGAATTTGTGTTCAAATACTGAATCATTCAAGTTTGGAACAATTCAAGTACCAAGATACTGCCATATTTCATTCATTATTTTTATGAATGATTATTTACCTACACAATAAAAAAAGTTTAATAACACTTATCTAAAAATGTTTAAATAAATTTGATGAAATACAAAGATTAATTTATAAAAACAAAACAGTGACAGTCTTAAGGGCTAATGTCTGAAAGCAACAACGACACCTGCTTGATAGGAAATCTAAAACAAGAAAGTGCAATTTTTTATATCAGTGTATAATATATATTATAAAATAGAAAGAAATGTGAAATTTTTATTTTTTATAGATTTGTTAGAAATTTTTATGGTTATTATTCTAAGATATTTTTATGTGTTTTTATTTATCTTTAAATAGTTATCAGATTGCTTTTTTCAAAACAGTACATATTAAAACATTTTATGTATTGGTAAATTATTATATAACTTATTATATATACAAAATAAAAAGCTTTCCTGGACTCCTTTCTGTTACAAGTGAATAGTTTTATTGTTGATCTGTTATATGGAGTTGTGTAACAAGGATATATATATATATATACAGGTAACCCCTGTATAACACGGCACTTCTATAGCACGGATTCGCTCTAACACGGTTCGAGAATTGGTACCATCCCCCGTATAACACGGTACTTTTATAGCACGGATTCACTCTGACACGGTTCGAGAATTGGGTAAAACCCTCGTACAACAGGAAATGTAATAAATTTTTACATACTTAAGTAATAATAGTTCACGAAAATTATTATTTTCGTGAACTATTAGTACTTAAGTATGTAAATTTTCTCTTCTCGCCTTCTGTCGATACACGTGGTCCTTCTCGAAACTTGTTTCAATGTTGCCAGATCGCGACGCTTCTGCTTCTGATGTTGCCGAATGTTTTTCCCTTATTCCATACTTGCTTTATTCTTCATAAGTGCTTAGCACCATATAAGGAAATTTATAAAGACCTTTTAACTAGAAGCAAGCAATCTAAAATTACATACATTTTGCAAAAGGTAAAGCATGGATCTGAAGATAATGCAGAAAAATGCTCAGAGGATAACGATAACTTGCCAAAAAGAAAACGCTCTCGGTTAATTAATAGTGTTTTTAGTGATGACGAAGAAAACATTGTTTAATTTATATTAATATGTATCACTTAAAAAATTTTAATGAAGATATTTATCTTAATTATGAAAATATACTAGCATGTTTTTTAATTTTTGGAACCTAACCCTCCTTTTCGTATTAGTTCTTTGTTTCGTATAACATGGATTCGCATAACACGGCAATTTTTTGGAACGTAACTACCGTGTTATACGGGGGTTACCTGTATATATTATGATGCCTAAATAAGGAGCTCTTCAGAATAAAAATTTTATAAATCTATCAGAGTAACTAGAACTAGATACTGCATATATAAAAATTTTTTCATATTTTCTGACAATTTATTTTAATTTTATAAATATAAAAAAAATATTTTAGAAATGTTTAAACAAAATTAATGTTATTTCTAGTTCAAAATAAATGAATTTGGAACATTAGAAATGATAAATGAAGATTGGACATCAGATTTATCTCTTCAAGTACTTAACCAGAATACTAAGGAAGAAATTAATGATATTTCAAAAGAATGTAAAGACTTAGATAAAAATCAAGTTAGGTCTGTTTTAGTTAAGAAAATCGAGCCAAAAACTACTACAAGTAAGTTTGTTTGTCAGTTACTTTAATTGAAAAAACTTAAACAAGTTTAACTTTTACCAATAAAATATTAGAATATACTTATATGATGATATACCATTACAATAAATACAGTGGTGCCTTGTATAATGTACGCCTCAAATAACGGATGCTGCGAACAACGGACTTTCTGTTTGGCTGTTACGTGACTCGAGCAACGGACTTTCCATTCAGCAGTTACGTGAGGCGAACAACGGTCTTTCTGCAAACAAGTGCAAATGAGTTTCCACTCTTTTGCCATTGCCAATGACAATCTGCTATTTTTATAATATATCAGTATTATTAGAATATATTATTATATCTAAAGTACAGAGCTCCCGTTGGGATTCGGCTTGCTCCCTTGTTTATTACGTACATCACCTCAGTGCAGGGTATTTACATTTATTCAAGTGTTGTGGAAATCATGGCTTTTAAAAAAACAGAAAGGTGATTTCAATTGAAACAAAGCAAGACATCATCAGAAGGAGTGAAAGTTGACAAAAACTTCTTGTCAAAAGGGGAGAGGTTCAGGAGTTTACCAACACTCATTATCCAAACAGAGCTGAGGCCAACGGGATCAATGATTTCTACAATGACCCGTATCTGACCCGACAAATACCTGTCATTTCTGACAGGTGTTGAAGAAGAGAGAGAAACAGACCACCTTGGACATGTTTTTCAAGAAGCCAGCAGGCAAAAGACAAAGGATGGAACAAGAGAAGTTGACCCTGCAAGTTCCGGTAGTCTCTCCTGAATCTGACTCCGATTAAAAAACAATAAAAAGAGACCTGCTGCAATGTGTAAAAAGTCTGTATCTGTATGAATGTATGAAGAAAATGTTCCTCCATCTCCTCCTCACAACATCTGACTACCTGGCATAATTGGTGACTACTCCATTTTCATTTTTTAATGGTACAGTATGGTTATTTTATGCTGTGGAACGAATTATATGTTTTAACATGTATTTCTATGGGAAAATGCATTTCATATAATGGACTTTTCACTTAACAGATGTGCACCTGGAACGGATTAAGTACGTTATATGAGGCACCACTGTATGATTCTAAAAGAAATGTAAAAATAGTGTTTAGCTTGTATAATTAATAAGTTCTTAAATTTTGCTTTAGTATGTTTATATGGAAAATGCAGCTTTTAATGAGTTTTATGCTAATTATTTATTCACTTCTTTTTATTAGCTTCAGATAACATCAAGCAGACTGTTATTGAAGTTGTCAGTGTTGCACCAGTAGAAAAGCCTGATGATATATGTCGATGTGAAAATTGTGGATGTTATGGTTTAATAAGTGAATTTCATAAATCTGGACGATTCTGTAGTCAATCGTGTATGTCCAGCTATTCAACCAAGTTAGTATATTAAGAAAAATTTATGAAGTAAATTTTGCTAAACATCTTTAAGTATTTGTGGAGAAAAAATGAAATATGAGTTAATTCTTTGATATATAATTTAATTTCTCAACAAAGCTTTTTTTTTATTTTACTTGACAAGATACATCAACCAGATAATTTTTAAGTATTTATAGAATTTTTATATATTTGCTAATAATTATTTTATTATTAAAAGATGACAAAGCAAACCAATTCATAGTGCCTCCAACCAAACTTTTATACAATAAAAGTTTGGCTGGGAGGCACTATGAATGAGCTGCAACTTACAAAAACTTTTAAGATAGTTTACAAAAAAAGCTCCTAATATTTACAACTTACTGACAAATGATAAAGACAAACTAAAGAAAGATCAGGCTGGAGTATACAAAATACCTTATGAAAATCAACAACTAGAGGTCCAAAAGGATTACGTTGGAATCACAAAAAGAAACCTCACGGTGCAACTCAAGGAACACAAGTACAATGTAGAAAAAGGCCACAGTAATACAATTTTAGTAGCAATGTCACAGGTGGAAGGCTCTTATAAAGTGGGATGAAGCAAAAATCATTAAAAAGGTACATTCTCCAACCATTGCTATGGATATGGATGGAAAAAATAGATTTACAAGAGCAAGATCAAAGAGCATGCCTGAGTGTCTGAATGCGAGAGATGCAAATGCTATACCTTCAGCATGGAAATATATCATTGAAAGACAATTTGGTCATAAAAACCTTGAATTATGGGCCCCCTATAATCAACACAAAAAAAAATTGTTTTTAATATCCCAGTATGAACAAATTTAAACAAAACAAACATTTTCGACCATAAACTTGGTCTTCATCAGGCTGATGGCCAGTATAAATTCGAAACTGGAAATTTGAACACAGTGTTTATAAATTATTTTTAAATTCCAAAATATTTAAATCTTAGAAAATGATTTTTACCGTACATGTTAATAAAGTGATAAAAATATCTTTACATCCACACACAAATAATACGATGTAAATACTGGTGTAGAAACGTTATCTACTAGCTAGTGTTATTTCCATTATTTTTTTCATAGCACCACCTCCATGTGTATGAAATATTAGCAGCATTCTTTGCATTAATGCAGTTGCCAGTCAGCCCCTATAATCATATTTAGCTTGTGTGTTATACTCTCATAGTTTTCTGTGTATATTTTATTTGCACATTTATTTGTATTTTGTTAACCTTGTATATTTTTTAAGTTTATTTTCATTTATTGTTAACTTTATATTTTTCATCTCATTTACATTTAAATTTTTATTTAGAATTCTTCAATAGTTAAAATTTAAATGGAATGTTCTATTTGTGGAACAGTTTCTAAAAACAGTTTTAAGAAACCTGATGATGGCCTATAGGAGTAGGCTGAAAACATTAGTAATGAGAAATTTTCTCTCAGCAAATGCTTAAATTTGTAATTTATTCTCTGCTGAGCATGTTTGAATTGTATTTTATACAATAGTTAATATTGTATAAAATACAGTTCAAAATAGTGAAGTGTGTCCACTTCTAGTGTAATTACATTAGAAAGATACACTTCATCATCAAGATTCTAACTTCTTAACTCAGGATAACCTGTGTCAAATTAAAAACAAAAATATATTATTTATAAGAATATTTACAACTTGACAAAAATGTAAGAATTCTTATATACAGAAAGTTTAGTCTGTAAGGAGAGACTAAAAGAATGTTTTTGCTTTTATGTATTTTTTTTCAATATTATATTAAAGTACTCAGCAAATCACCAAACATATAAATAACACCTTATCTTTGCCGAGAAATATATTTATTTCCAAAACAAACGTTTTCAGCCTGATTTACAGGCCATCCTCAGGTTGAGAATGAAATTTGAATTAAGGCATTCCACCAATAGAATACAAAATTAAAAATTAAATAAGCAACAGAATAACATAAAATAACACCTTATCTTTGCCAAGAAATATATTTATTTCCAAAACAAACGTTTTCAGCCTGATTTACAGGCCATCCTCAGGTTAAGAATGAAATTAAGAAATACAATTACAGTCAACCCCCCTATAACACGGTAAATGTGTTCCGTTCTTTATGAAATTCATTTTTTACGAGTCCTTAAATACATGAGCCAATCACAGCACGACACGTATGCAGTTTACGGACTACAGCTGTTTGAAAGGTTTTCTTCCATAAAATTAATCGATTCTAGACTAATTTGACTGAGCATTTCCAAAACACGTATAATTTTTTGGTAATAATCCATATATACTATGCTATAAACAAAAAATTGTAGGATTACTTACCGAGTGTGCACCGTTCGATGACGCCATTGCTTAAGCTTGTTTTCGTCGTGGAGTGGCGCATCAAATGGCGCTCGTGTGCTTCCTGATAAATTATTTTCTGTGAAAACTTTGCTGAACTTTGGAGACATCATTAATATAAATATAATTTTTATGGACGTTAAATAATAAATGGTTTTTAGTAGGTCCGCTTATCATTTAAACTCAACGGTTTGTGCAATATCCGCTATTGGTCTAGATTTGACCAATCTTGTCGCGACACAAGTCAGCGATGACATTTTACCGAATTATACGAGTCTCTTTTAGCGTGTTTATACGAATGCAGTTGCAATTTTTTCACCATTATATACGAATCCAAATTATATGAACTCACTTTATAGGAATCTACTGTACTAACACATCCAATAAAATTACTATTTTAATCGGTTAGAGCTCTTAGTAAATTCTTTAACCATAAACTTCCATGCAGAGGGAAGACTCTCGGCATCCCTCGCATTCAAATAGCCTTCCTGTAGTTTACTCCTATAAATTTGAATTTTTTCAGCTGTCAATGCCAAAGATGGGGAAGATAAAGGTTTGATGATGGCTGCCTCCTTCCATTTGACTACAGATCCTTGTGTTTGCGCCATTTGGGACAAAATAGTTACATTAGACTCCTTTCTGATATTATAACTATGCTCCTTGAGTCTAACTCCCAAACTCCTGGTGGTTACTCCAATATAGTCTTTTTTAATGTCCATTTGCATATTCTCATAAGGAATTCTATAAACCCCTGCTTTCTCCTCTGACTTTATACAAAATCCTCAGAAATGATAAAGATAATATAAATTAGGCACCCTTTTTATAAGCATTCTCAAACCTTTTCTGTCAGCAACCTCTTTCACAACAGTATTCATACTTTCATTATAGATAAATTTTACGACTTAAATGACCTTTTCTTGATGTTCGCCTCATAATTCTTAACCATTCCCAGCATAGCACTTTTTTGGTAACCCAGGGTCTGTGCCACACTCATTATTCTATTTCTTTACTCCTGCCTTGTATTCTGTCACAATACAAAAATGCTCTTCTTACTAAAGCTTTCCAAGCTTTGAAATAGAAGTGATGATTGTGGAATAGAAGAGATGAGCTGGCTCAAAGCACTTCAAAAGCTAATATCCATCAAAAAAGTGATACTTTCTGTTTGGTGGGATTTTAAGGGAATTGTTTTTTTTTAGTTTTACCAGATAATTCTACAATTGATTTGAAAGTGTACTGCCATCAACTGGACAAATTGAGTGAAGCCATCAAACAGAAAAGGCCAGAATTGATCAACAGAAAAAGTGTAGTGTTTCACCATTTCATAAGTTTGGTAACTTGTCAGAAACTGTTACAACTTGGATGGGATGTGCTGCCACACCCACCATATTTGTCAGATCTGGCACCCTTGGATTATTACTTGTTCTGGCCTTTACAAAATTTTTTAAATGGTAAATCATTTATTTCAAATGAGGATGTCAAAAATGACATGAATCAGTTTTTTGTAAGCTAAGATCAAAATTTTTATGAACATGGAATAATGCTACTACCAGAAAAATGACAACATTGTATTGGACCAAAATATAAATATTGAATATTTATATTTATATTGAATATAAATATTCAATAAAATATTTATATATTATACGAAAATTATTTTTTTTCCCCATGAAAAAAAACGAAATTACTTTCTTAACAATCCAATAGTATAATTGTCTTGCCCAACTGTAACTCAATGTGCCATTTAGTTCTCCATCTGTCATTAGTCTAAGGTGTCTAGACTGTGGAAACCTATATGCTTGGGAATAGTATTATACACATGCAGAATGAATTGCATTTTGGAAAGAACTGCTATTGCCAATTCTAGACAGAAAGATAATATGGATGAAACAATGCAACCAATGGGTCTATATAGCTAGGTCAACTTTGTTCTTGAGATATCACCAAAGAAAAAGTTTTCTTCTAATGGTTACAGAATATTGGATATTTGAAAATGGCAATCCAAGAAGAGATAGGTCATTTTCCAGTAAATGATTCAGGATGTTTATGAGCAGCAGCATATAGAAGGTCATTTGTGTGATATTACATTTTACATTAAAAAATATGAGATCTGATCAAAAACTATCTGATTTTATTTTTTTTCCAGTAAATCAGATGAAGGAGAAGGGCAGAAGTGTGTCACACACTATTAGACCTTCACACACGTGAATTTTTGCCAAAACACTGAGACATAAAAATAAAGCATAAAAGATATAGAAAGCTTTGGTGGTGATGATATGAGAAAAACCAAAATTAAAGATTTTTACCATCATTTCAAAGAGATAGAACATTGAGAGGGACAAGCATATCATTTGTCCCTTCACCCCTAATTGGAGTCTGATGGTAAGGTGGAGTCAGAGTTGGTAGATTTTTACATGACTCCATAACCCTGCTAAAATATCTTCACTTTTGCCATGTCCAATCACCAGGAATGACAATCTTTCACTGCAGAGACGACCTTTCTTTAGAGGCCTCTGCAAAAATATGCAAAACAGTCTAAAAGTTCTCCTGTGACAAGCCAAAACAATTAAAAATACAATAATTCTTTTTTAAAAAGAATTTAGACTGTTTTGCATGTTTTTGCAGAGGTGTAGTCTCTAAAGAAAGGGCATCTGCAAGTGGAAGATTGATGTTTCTGGTGATTGGACATGGTGAAAATGAAGACATTTTAGTCTTTTTATATATTTTTACTAATGTGTTAATTTGTCAGCCAATTGTTTAAAAGAGTATTACTACCTGCAAGTTCTTTGGTGCCTTTAGGATGCTGTCTGTTTCAAGAGATCACATCAGTGGTGAGGCAATGCTTGAAGGCTTCACCATAACAATGCTCCAGTTAATTCATTGCATCTGATTCAGGAATTTCTTATTAAGGTGGAAACTTCCTACTCACCAGACTTGGCTCCTTGTTACTTCTTTCTCTTTCTTAAACTGATGATGCTATTAAAGGGATCAAAATTTCATAACAATGACAGCATCAAAACCAATACAATGAAGGCACTGATGGCAATCCCAAAAACTGATTTTCAGAATTGCTTTTTGAAAGCGGAAAGAGTACTGGAACAAGTATGTGCAGTCAAAAAATGAATACTTTGAGGATGATTAATGAACAAAATTGAAACACAACATATTTTGTAGACATGGGTTTTGGTGTACCAGTAGTTGCAATTTGTGTAAATCCCAACAACCACAAGTAAATTTTGTGTAGCCATTCATCAGTTCTGACTATTATCCTTTTATTTAGTACTATTTTCCAAGTCCTGTCCTGTCCTGTTTAAGCAATGATTTGATAGATTGAAATCTTATTTATCATTGATTATGTTATATAATTACAGTCGACCCCCCCCTATAACACTGTTGATTTTTCCGTTTTATATGAATTCCATGTTGTACGAGTCACTTAGATTTTATAAATATGTGTGCCGGGCTGTGAACGGCTCGCGTATTTGTAAAATTAAGTGACTCGTACAACATGGAATTTATATAAAACGGAAAAATCAACAGTGTTATAGGGGGTCGACTTGTACAGTAATTAATGTAATTGCCAACAGATACTATTAATTTCAATTGATTTGACAAATGAATAAAAAAACATAATTTGTAGATAAAACAATGATTCCAATTTGAATATATATCAGTTTACATATGATTTTAATGAATTTTTATGATTGTATTCACTGGTATCTTGAAAATCTAAGTACTTTTGAATATGGCAGCAAATTTACAAGGATTTAGTTGGTTTTATCCAGAGATTTAGGAAAATCACTTTTTTGAAGAAAATGCTATTGATCAGTTGAAAAGCATGATGAATCTGTTAATTCATCATGCTTTTCATTCATCTACTTTGTTGAAAACAGAATTTGTCGTTTCCATAAAATGGAACATCATATATTTTCAGTATTCTGAAAAGAAATTTTTCTTCATAAAGCTCTTAAAACAGTGAATATATCAAAATGGGAATATTCAATCTCTATTAATTTAATTTAATCTTATTTTATTTTTGTCACCTACAAAACCTTGCCTAGAAAATTACCAATCATTTAATGCAAAATCATTCATTTTTATATTAAATAACTGCTGGTTTGAAATAATTTCTGTTGAATTTTTTTTGTTCTGAAAGGTGAATATAAAAGTTGTAAACCACAAATACTCCAAGATNTTAGTCTTATAATTAGATTAAATAATTTACTATTTAATCTAATTATAGTAACTTCTAAATAATTCAGACTATTATCTACTTCTTTTTCACATTTGAATTTATATCAAAATGGGAATATTCAATCTCTATTAATTTAATTTAATCTTATTTTATTTTAGTCACCTACAAAACCTTGCCTAGAAAATTACCAATCATTTAATGCAAAATCATTCATTTTTATATTAAATAACTGCTGGTTTGAAATAATTTCTGTTGAATTTTTTTTGTTCTGAAAGGTGAATATAAAAGTTGTAAACCACAAATACTCCAAGATCTACAGTTGAAGAATCGTGTAATCATTTAGAAGATATGGCGTTGAATCATTTGTATTCCATGAAAAGGCATAAATGATAGTAAAAAACTTTCAACATCTGAACACTTGTTATTAACTATACTACTTACTTTTATAGGATATTCTCTATAAAAGTGAATTTGTGTAAAGGATTTTCTTTTTCTTGTATTAAAATATATAAAAATTTGGTTATTTTTGAATGTAAAAGTCCATTTGAAATAAAAATTTTCTCATTGAACTGCTGTCAAACTTCGTCAAAATGTGGCATGAAAAAATTATTTTGTTAGTTAAAAATAATTTCTATCAAATATACTTATTGGATATTACTAAAAAAGACAGTACTGTATTCATTTATTATTTATGTCTAAATTGTTTGCTAACAACATGTGAAATAGAAATAGCAGAGACATCCTGTTTTTCATTGCTAGTACACAAAGTTAAGGTTTTTCACATAATATCAATTTAAGTTTTCTAAGTCACATAAACCATCTCTTGAGAAAAATCATTTTAATGAAATAATTATGCAGTGAACCTTGGGATAAGTGTAAGACTTCTTTCTATTAGTTTCTTCAATAAAGTAGTTTTTAAAGACTTGAATATCATGGAGTGATAGAATTTCAAAATTCTAACTTTTCAGTATATTTTATTATAAAATATTTATTGGTTTTATTCTTTCATTTATAATTTTTTCATTATATTTCCATATACAGGCTAGTTTGAAGTTATAAAATTTTAAAATATTTTCTGCATAAAGGGCATATTTTCCACACTTAAAAAATAAAGTTTAGTTTTTAGAGATTTTTTTATGTTTTAATTTTTTTATCTTGCAACTTAGAAACAGTTGCATTACAGACTTTGTGCTGCCTTGTATTTATTAATATTAATTAGTATAATAATATAAAAAATATTTTTATAATAAATTGTACTTAATAAATCTTACATATTATTCTGGATTTTTTTTTCAAAAACAAAAAAATAAATTGTTTTTTTGTGTTAGGGGTGGAGAAAAAAATAAAACTTTATTACCATTAAAGAAGAAGAAGAAAAAACAAATATATACCCAATCATCAGAAGAAGTAAGATATTCAAAATTTATTACAATATTTATTGCAACATACAGTATATAATATTTTAGCATATAAGCTTTTAAAAATTATTATTTGTATTCATAATATTCATATCATGAAACTTACAAAGAAAGTATCATACATTTTGAAAATGGAAATAAGTTGATTTTCTAAACTGAAAGGAAAATATATTATTAATTGAATATTTAAGGTTATAAATAAATCTTTTTTCTTTAATTTTGTAATTATAATTTTTTATTCATATTACTTGTGTAACATAAATTAGTAATTTATGTAACAAATAACTTACTAATTTATAATTAACTATGGAAATTTAAATTCACAAAAAATTTTAATCAATTTTATGTATATTTTTTCAATTAGCCTCCCAGAAAAGAGATTAAACTTAATGTTAAAGTAGAAGATAATACCAAATCTTCAGACAAAACAGAAAGAAATAATTTGGGCTTTTCATGGACAACATATTTGGAAAAAGAGAAAGCAGTTGCTGCACCAATAAAACAATTTCGTGATGTATGAAGTTTTTATTGTAAACATAGTCCAGTGATTTTATTTGTTCTGATTTTTGTTAATTTGTTTAATGATAATTTATAATTAATATTATTCATATAATTAGTTTTAAAAGTGAAAAATTTTATAAGTAAATAGAAGATAGCACAACAACAGACACAGGACCAACTTTCGGTGTGTATAATACAAAAAACAAACACTGCACAAACATTTGCAAACTCCATTCTGTATTATGCAATGAAAGATATAGTAGTACACCTATCACACAAGTGTTATGCAAATGAGACATATTGTAGTGCACCTGGATGGCAAAATTTAATATATTATATATATAGCAAAATTGTTTCTGACAAACAAATTGTCTGCTTGAAACACTAACAATTAGGAAGTATTCCTGATACACCAGTAGCTTATCAGATATGTCTAGTGATATCCCAATACCTCAAAAGTATCAATACCAGTATCATGAGTAGTTTTAAAATATCAATACCAATATCGATATTAGTCTTATAATTAGATTAAATAATTTACTATTTAATCTAATTATAGTAACTTCTAAATAATTCAGACTATTATCTACTTCTTTTTCACATTTGAATTGAATATTTTTATTGATTAAATTAATTTCCTTCATGAAAGCATCAATATCTATTATGCTTTCAGGTATAATAAAACTTGAGGTATAATAAGTTATCAATCTCTTTTATCAATTATGATNGTTTTTTTGTGTTAGGGGTGGAGAAAAAAATAAAACTTTATTACCATTAAAGAAGAAGAAGAAAAAACAAATATATACCCAATCATCAGAAGAAGTAAGATATTCAAAATTTATTACAATATTTATTGCAACATACAGTATATAATATTTTAGCATATAAGCTTTTAAAAATTATTATTTGTATTCATAATATTCATATCATGAAACTTACAAAGAAAGTATCATACATTTTGAAAATGGAAATAAGTTGATTTTCTAAACTGAAAGGAAAATATATTATTAATTGAATATTTAAGGTTATAAATAAATCTTTTTTCTTTAATTTTGTAATTATAATTTTTTATTCATATTACTTGTGTAACATAAATTAGTAATTTATGTAACAAATAACTTACTAATTTATAATTAACTATGGAAATTTAAATTCACAAAAAATTTTAATCAATTTTATGTATATTTTTTCAATTAGCCTCCCAGAAAAGAGATTAAACTTAATGTTAAAGTAGAAGATAATACCAAATCTTCAGACAAAACAGAAAGAAATAATTTGGGCTTTTCATGGACAACATATTTGGAAAAAGAGAAAGCAGTTGCTGCACCAATAAAACAATTTCGTGATGTATGAAGTTTTTATTGTAAACATAGTCCAGTGATTTTATTTGTTCTGATTTTTGTTAATTTGTTTAATGATAATTTATAATTAATATTATTCATATAATTAGTTTTAAAAGTGAAAAATTTTATAAGTAAATAGAAGATAGCACAACAACAGACACAGGACCAACTTTCGGTGTGTATAATACAAAAAACAAACACTGCACAAACATTTGCAAACTCCATTCTGTATTATGCAATGAAAGATATAGTAGTACACCTATCACACAAGTGTTATGCAAATGAGACATATTGTAGTGCACCTGGATGGCAAAATTTAATATATTATATATATAGCAAAATTGTTTCTGACAAACAAATTGTCTGCTTGAAACACTAACAATTAGGAAGTATTCCTGATACACCAGTAGCTTATCAGATATGTCTAGTGATATCCCAATACCTCAAAAGTATCAATACCAGTATCATGAGTAGTTTTAAAATATCAATACCAATATCGATATTAGTCTTATAATTAGATTAAATAATTTACTATTTAATCTAATTATAGTAACTTCTAAATAATTCAGACTATTATCTACTTCTTTTTCACATTTGAATTGAATATTTTTATTGATTAAATTAATTTCCTTCATGAAAGCATCAATATCTATTATGCTTTCAGGTATAATAAAACTTGAGGTATAATAAGTTATCAATCTCTTTTATCAATTATGATCATGCACAACTCTGCCAATCTAGGTCCTTATTGGTATAACTTCCGATTGTCAATAATATTTACCTTGGAATTCAAAAAAACTGTCATTTAACACATTCTATCAATTGTTTAACCTAACCTGGGGACTTAACATAGGACAGTGAATTTAAAATTAAATCTAAATTTATTGAGGGATACATATTGTTAATATCCAGTGAAGCTATCCTATAGTTTTCCTTCATAACTATAGCTTTCATGTTTTTTAAGAATTGGTCAGTGTTTGTAATACTATACTCAGATACTGGTCATTTATTTAACTCTTTAATGTTATCTCAAGATTATACAGTAAATATTTTCAAATATCTATGAAAGGATGATATGCAACTGGTTTTTTGTTTGTTTTTACTTTAAAACTTATTTTCAGAATTCTATTACTAAAACATTTAATATCTTTAACAGTGTTATTATCTATGTATTTTAGTTTAGAAAAATTAGTTATAAGCTTTATAACTTGTTTTTTTAGCTATCTGCTGGGTTATCCTTAAGTAATGTATAATTTCCTTTTTTTAAGATCTCTAATATTATGTTATTATAATTATGTTTAGTCAAGACTATTGTTTGTTTTGCTTTATCAGCTTTTGTGTATATAAGCTGATGAGAGGTCTTTGCATCCAAAATGCATTCTTACCTAAATTTGATTGTAATTATTAATAACCATGCAACAGCAAAACAAGAACTACAATTGTGCAAATACACCAACGGATATCCATAACTCATAACTGTAATTTACCTTGAAGTTCTTATTCATGATTTTTTCAATCTCACACATACAAACTCCATGGAAAAATAAATTAAAATGCAATCAAATTATACTGCCATACATATGCAGTAACCACACCGTATAATTGAGCATAAGTGATTTTCATATAGATAAGAGTTGTTTTAAATTTGCATATGTAACTTTCACAAACAAGATTTCATTTAAGGAGCAGAAGTAAGTATGACATAGACTATGATTGTAAAATTTTACCTACTAGTTTTAATAGTGAAAAATAATTAAGAAAAAATTAAAATTACATTATGTTACATCAAATTTAATCATGTTACAAACAGGAAGCAATGACTTTTTAATCATCTTACATAATTGAAAATTTTTATTTATTGAATGATTTAATGAATCTAGTGAGGATTTAATAAAAAAATTTTTATTCTCTCAGTATCAATCAATTCCTACATACAAGAATGGTTTTAAAGTTGGCATGAAACTTGAAGGTTTGGATCCAAAACATCCTTCCATGTTTTGTGTTTTGAGTGTTGCTGAAGTCTGTGGTTTTCGAATACGATTACATTTTGATGGCTATTCTCATTGTTATGACTTCTGGCTAAATGCTGATTCTATTGATATTTTTCCTGTGGGATGGTGTGAGAAAACTGGTCATCAACTTCATCCACCTAAAGGTTAGATAATTTTAATTGATAATTATTATATAAAAGAAATTTTAAATTAAAATTTCAAGATTTTTTTAAAAACTTATAAGTAAAGAATTTAAAATAATTTTAAGTATTTCTTTCAATTTGATACATCTTTAATTTGCTCACTTTATGCAAGAAAATTAAATTAAAAAAAAAAAATAAAAACAGTACTTTAATAAAAATATATTAAATTTTTAAAATCTAAAAATTCTTCATGCATAAATTTTTTGTAATGAATAGATTTTAAGAAAAATACTTAAAGGAAAAAAAATTTTTCAATACCTATCTTAAGAATTATCTTTTAAAAGATAACTACAAATCTTTCAGGGACTAGTGTTAATATCAAGTTTATCTGATACAAAGTTATATATCAATCTTTCTGTTGTGTATTAAGATTTTTGAAACTTTTTTATTAGCATGCTATTTTGCATAGATTACTAATAATGTATGTGCAATGGCTTTATTTATTAGATATCTTAATAGAAACTAACTTATATTTTATAACACTTTATAATAAATTTAAAGTATTTATATATTTTTAGAGAAACAAAATAAATTCAGAAATACTTTAAAATTGCTAGTTATTTTATATTAAAAATTTCAAACAATTATGGATTGTTTTGATCACTAAGTATTTTGGTATGATGGAAAATCATATCTGTTCAGGAATTTTTGTTTACTCATTAAATTAGCAAGTTTATAATTAAGTAAAATGTAATTTTTTAAAATAATATATATCACTTTATGTTTATATTCTTGTCTATTTTGGATCTTATTTATTAATAGGACTTACTACACCAGTGTAATAAGTCCTATTAATAAATAAGATCCAAAGTAGACAAGGATGTAAACAGAAATTGATAAGAGCAAGGACATAGTAATATATATTAATTCTTTTTGCCTCTATTTAATTTATATTCATTATAATTGAGTTTTCCTTAATCTTTCAATAAATTCATACAATTTTCTTTTATCTCTTACAGTGCTGATTAATCTGTTAGAAATAAAAATAATTATTTGCTTTTGTCTTCATCTGGCCAGTTATTTTGTATCCAGTTATATTGATTGACTATGCATGAGTTATTACTATTTATCTGAAAAATTACTTCATAAGAATTTTTTTATGAAGTCCTTTTTCAGATAAATCATTTATTTCAAATATGAGAATTTTGATTTTAAATAAATAGTAATAAGTTGTAAGAAAGTTGTTGATTATTAATTTTCTGTTTTAAAATTTTTAGGCTTTACTTCTCAAGAGTTTAATTGGAATCATTACTTACAAATCAGTAAAGCTCAAGCAGCACCAAAACATTTGTTTGCTTGTAAAAATTTACAGGTAATTTTGTGAATATGCTAATATAACTTTAAAAAAATTTAATTTTTACATTTTTTAAACTAAAAAAATAATACATCTTTATTTTGCTAATTTTTGAAAGATAAATCAAAATTATAAGGTATGTATTTTTTATTTTAAATTCAAAATCTTGTACTGACATTTTGTACTTAAGCTCGTAATCAAATAATTTTAAAATTACAGTAGAGCGTCGTTTATCCGAATCAATTGGGGACTGGGGTAGTTCGGATAACTTATTTTTCGGATAACGAATCATGTACGAAAAAATATATTAATTTATCCCATGTTGAAATTTCTCTCCGTTGCGTGTCGCTTCGCGTTGAATTTTCGTCGATGTTAAGCCTAACGAAGACTATTGTATCGTTAAAAATTATTTTTTTATTTTGTACAAACAAAATAAATTTATTGAAAAATATAAAAACAATAAAAAATTATACTTCAGATGTTAATTTAGTATCAAAAACGTAAAATATTTGAGTAGCCCAAGAAATAGCTGAAGATTGCAGCGCCACAGCACTAGCGAAAATTTAAATTTGCCGACTGGAATGCTTTCGGATAACAGACGTTTCGGATAACCAGCTTTCGGATAAACGACACTCTATTGTAAAACAATGGAGCTTCAAAAATATCATTTGAGAAAGAGAGAGATTGAGTATTTCAAAATAATTTTATATTTTTATTCTACCTTTACACATTTCTTTAACATTTATATTACATTAAAACTTATTTTTTTCAATTGTAAAATGTTCTTAATGTTTTACAGCCTAATTGCATTATTATTTTTTCAAACATATTCTTTTTATGTTTTTTTTTGTATAAAAAAAAAAATTCTCTGAAATTTCAATTTTGGAGAATATATACTGCTGGCCATTAAAATTGCTATACCAGGAAGGAAAGCAAATAGCAGAATTATGTTTATTACACACACACAGTATAATGGGAGGAAGACGTGATTAAATTGACAAATAACCTTGAGGTACAGAGCACTCAGCATGTTGCACCTTTCATGAAATTTTGTTTTTATTGTGGCCCATCTTCATGGTGTAGCAATTTTAATGGCCAGCAGTGTAGATGTTGCATATAATTATGGAATTCCTTACACAATACTTGATATGACCAACTAGACTCAGTATCTAGAAGTATCCAAAACTTTAACTTTTTTTTTTGTTTTTAAATTATGTGTTTTTTTTTTTTTTTATCTGATCAATGTTTTTCTTGAGATTTCCATTTATATGAAATTTGAAAAATAAATCATGAGAGAGATTCAAAATGTCATCATGTATAATTCTAATTTTTTAAAAAGAATCATTTTTAATTATTTGATTAAATCTGGATATTTATGATCAGTTCTGTATGTTATCATCATTTGGCAAATATGGAACAAACTAGCTGTTTCTTCATACAGGTTCAATTCTATTAAAAATAATGGAATAACTTTTCACAAAAAAGACCTGTAGACATATTTGAACTATTTACAATAGACATGGTAATGGAATAGTGATCTTATTCTACAGCTAAAACTTTGTAAAATCCAGTAAGAGAAATAATATAAATAGTTTGAAATTGTATTGGAAAAGGATAAAAATTAATATCAATAACTCAACACCTTCTATACTTTTCTAGTAGTGTTTTAATCTAGATTAAAACACTGCTGGAAAATAATAGAAGTATAGAGTTATTGATAATTTGGTTTGTATTTCCAGTTTTTTCCTACAAGTATGTTTATAAAAATTAATGCAGTAAGAATTTTGAAATATAAATTATGTAAGTTATATTTAATTATTAGCCATAAAATATAAGATATCTTATTACTTTCACTTTTTAAACAAACAATAACCAGTTTTAATCTTTTATATTCTTTGTATTTACATTTGTTTGAAGTAGCATTCAATCAAATTAAATTTTTAATGTAGATATTTCTTATGTATGATTTGTATAATGTCTTTTGTCTTCATTTTTTATTTATATTTTTTATTCATAATTAGATAAATTAATTGAACAAGAAATATTACATTTTTTTATGAAAAAATAATTTTTAGGTATTCATTTTAATATATATGTAGGCACAAAGAAACTTCCAGCATTGCATGAGTATATTCATATAGTGTAATAGTATTCTATTGTGATGTTTATATTAAAGTAAGTTCATTCATTCAGAAAAATGATATGTGTAAATCTATGTAGTAGTTCTGAGGCAATAACTAAAGTTTTCAAACATAAAAATAAGATAAAAATTTAAAATGCAATTTTGACAAATTATGCTAAAAAAGAATTTTTAACAATCCTTGTAAAAAAGCCAATATCAATGCAGTCTGTTAATTGGTAGAAGATACTTCAATAAGTGTCAGTTTTGTTCAGTTGCTTGCCGTGTACTCTCCACCAGTTCCAGTTTAATCAAGGATGGTATGTCACTACAGTCTTTGACCTGCATATTGGATCAGCTTTCCATGAATTGCCTGATCATTATCTGACCATATTCTCATTCATGACGTCCAGTCCATACATTTCACACAACTGTTGGTGGATCTCTGCTAGTGTGAGCTTTTTAGTTTGTGAGGTACTTGCTGTAATCAGGTTTTTGCATTCAGTGGGTGACTGTATGAGAGTGGCCATCTTTTCTTTAGCACTGTGCTCTCCATGGAGCAGCATATACACTAGATTATGATCAAATATTCCTCCTTCATGCCTGTGCAAGTTCACCTCACTCCAATCTCCAGAACCACTTCCTGGCACTTTCAGAACTTATTTTCTGGACACCTCTCATATATAGTATGGAATAAAAATTAAATAAAGAAAAGTAAAGAACAAAACTGTTTTTAACATACTGCATGCCACCAGGTCACACTCAGAACTGGCATCATGTGTTGCGTATATCATGGAAACCAAAAAAATGTGACCACATGGCAAACTACAGCTGTACTACAGTCCACCAAATTCAAGACTAGCCACTTTCCAAATTAGCCAGTTTTCTGTTAGTTCCAGATATTTGGTTCAGTACTACAGAGCAAAATAAAGTTAACTGTTTTTGTATTAATTATTTTTGTATTGGTCTTTATTCTTTAGAATCAAAGATTTTTTGTTATGTATATTTTAAAATGATTCTTTTCCATTATTCTTGCACTTGAGAGAGATGGGAAAATTTATGTATTGTCTTGGAACTGCTGTGCAATTTACACATGTATTATATGCATATACTATACTTCTACTTGTGCAATGCTGGAAAGATTTTTTTGTACCTGAATAAATAGTAAAGTGAATACTCTGTATATATGTAATAGTAATAATTACCTATATAGCAATTTGTAAAATTATTTGTAATTATAGACTGTGACACCACATGGATTCAGAGTGGGAATGAAATTGGAAGCTGTTGATAGAAAAGATACATCTCTTGTATGTGTTGCTTCAGTAACAGATGTCATGGATAACAGATTTCTTATTCATTTTGATGGATGGGATGATATATATGATTACTGGGCTGATCCAACATCTCCATACATCCATCCTGTAAACTGGTGCAAAGAAACAGGAAATGTACTTATTCCACCCAATAGTGAGTTTTCAAAGTAAAATTTAATTAAAATTTTTTTACTATTTTTCAGAAATATTATAAGAATGAAAATATATTCAAATTGCATGGAATTTGGCCACATTGTTAGATTATGTATTTTCAATTAGAATAATCAAGTGGTAATATATCTCAGTTCAAATATGCTTGAAAATTATATTTTTGCAAAAATCTTGACATATGAGAGATTTGAGAATTAAAAGACGTATAGTAGATGCCACTTATTGTAATTGTAAATATTGTTATCAGTCATCTAATATTATCAAAATCAACTCATCCCGAAACAAATTAAATAATGTTACAAAACTTTCACTATTGTAATCAGAAATTCACTTACTGTTAGTAACATAATGATAAAGTTGGAATTTATTTAGATTGTCAGTTGGCTATTATTAACTAAGACAATAAAGGTTAAAAGCCATGTAATTCCAATTCAAACATTAGAACAATGGACTATACCATGGACTACTGGAAACTTTAATTAAATAAATATTAAATGTAAATTATAATTCACACTACCACTGACATTCTCATCTCTTAGAAGCCATAAATTAGATAGCTAGGATTAAATTTAAGTAAAACAAACTAAGAATATCACCACCAACAAGTGCAGTATAAATAATGTAAATAATGTGAAATAAAGTGTGCCATATGTACAATGCCATGGGAATTTCAAGTTTCCCCTAATAATTTTATCTAGATTAAAGATGATGCCAGACCATCAGTTGCCAGAAATTTGGTGGTACACCTGTATTAGAAAACTTTACCACTCATATACAGATTGAACTATTCCTACAGAACAGTGTGATTTGCGATCTAAGGTATATTAGGAAATTCATTCCAACCTTACACATGATCAAATAATTACTGGCATAGGAAATGATGTACTTGAAAAATAACTATCCCAAAAGGGTTAAATTATAAGAATTTTCTTATCTGAATGGAATGCGATAAAAATTACATCATTATGATTTTTATTTTTATCATTTTTATATTGTTTGCAAATAAAAAGTTATATCGTCTAATTTTTTGTACTTTTACAGATTACAGAGATCCTGACAGATTTACATGGGAAAAATATTTATCAGAAACAAAAGCTCAAGTTGTTCCCAATCGAGCCTTTAAACGACGCCCACCACATGGTTTTAAAAAAGATATGAAACTAGAAGTGGTAGATAAAAGAAATCCCATGTTAATTCGTGTTGCTACTATTGCTGATACTCAATCTCATGCTATTAAAATTCATTTTGATGGTTGGTCAGATGCTTATGATTATTGGTTAGATGATGATTCACCAGATATTCACCCAGTTTCTTGGTGTACTAGAACTGGTCATCCTCTTCAGCCTCCTATAAGTATGTTATGAATTTTATAATTTAAATCTGTATTCTAATTATTAAACATAAACAATTAATAGTTTTTAAATTTCTGATAGATGGTGAAACAGATTAATAAAACTTTTTCAATCTGTATTAATATTATAATTTTAAAAAATATTATAGAATGTTGAAGAAAGCAATTATTTAATCTTGGGATAAAATGATTGATAGATTGATTTTAAACTATTTTATAACATTGAATCATATATAAATAATATCTTCAATATATGTAAATTTATACATACTTAACACACAATTTATTTGTTGTTTTAGGTGAAATGACAATAACTAATTCTAGTGGATGCCCAACAACTGGTTGTCAAGGTATTGGACATATAAAAGGTCCTAAATATACCAGTCATCACAGGTATTATTACATTAATTCAATAAATATAATATAAAAATATTTTTGTAAACTGTAATGCTTTATTTCACAAAGGTTCTAAATGAAAACAACTGCTTTGTGTATTTTTAATGCCAAATGATTGCTGGGCTATATTAAAGCTACTGTTAATAATTGAATATTTTATTTAATGGATTTGGAAATAATTTAGGTAGTTTTAAGTTTAATCTAAGATGACATGAAATTTTAAATGTGATATTTTGAATTTTTTCACACACAACTAAGAATAGAAATTTCTGAATTTATGAATTAAATAAAATGTAAAACTCACAGATAACAGTGAGTGAAATAGTACTTAAAATAATTAAAATTTTAAACAACTAATATTACATTTTTTGAATATTCAATTCTTTTATAATGTCTGTAATAGTGATAGAAAACAAAATAGTTGACTTGTTTCATTATTACAAACACTAAATATGATACCATTTAGAGATTGTATAGGTATGATTATGACATACAGTTTATGCATAGGCAACCCAAGGATTTGCAAGGCCTTAGGCAAAATTTATTTTTTTGAAGCTCATTAAAAGAGCAGTGGCGGTAGAGGGTAGATTTATTTAGGTCTATCATAATATGAACATTTTTAATATAGAAACAGAAAGTACATATTTTAATTATTTTAAGTTTTACAATAAATTAAAAAATTCAATAGGTTTACAAGGTCCAAAATGTTTCAGAAACAATTCTTGTACCAAAATTCCATAAAAAAATCAAAACATTTTAATAACTAAACTTGACTACAAAAGTTATAATTTCAACAACAATAAATTAGTATAAAATTCAAATATTACAATTTCAAATTCAGTACAGTAGAGCATCGATTATCTGACCCCCGATTAACCATCACATCGGTTAACCGACCGTTCTAATCGGCAAATTTCAAATGTCCGCTAGTGATGTAGCACTGCAATATTTGTCTATGTCTTGGCTACTTTAATATTATTTTTGTTAAATTTTTGTATGTTTTAGCTGGCAACACGGCTCGACCATTGAAGGGAAGCCAGTATTTAAATGAGACTTAATTTTCTAATTATGAATGGTTGTTTGTTTTGTGAGCAATAAAATATTTTAAAAATAATTTTTAACGATACAATAACAACGATTATTATTAAAAAAATAATTTTGTTAGGCTTAATATCGATGAAAATTCAATGCAAAGTTGGTTAATAGCGATATACTAATTACATGGTATATACTAAAAAATACATTATTAATATAGTATATTTCGGTTATCCGACCAACCTGAGTCTCCAATTGAGTCGAATAATCGATGCTCTACTGTATTTACAACAAAATTAATTATTAGTACACTTTACAATGTTTGAAATTTTAAATAATCATAATAATTAACTTGATTAGGGAATGGACTCTAGCAGACGAAAAACCCTTAATCAGCACCAATTATTCAATCACTTTACACTCTGACCAGAAGGTGTGAAGACTAACCAGTTGTGGGATGCAATTTTATATATTATTCCAATGTTGTTATGAAATTATACAGTTGGAAAGTATTTAGATAGATGTTGAGGTTTTACATAACTCAATCCAAAAACTCGATAACTGAAACAAAAGAAAAAAAACAATGTAAGTAACTAAATATTACTATAAATAAAAATCTCTCTTGCTATTACAGTGGGGAATACACTTACTCCCAACTGCTGGGGATAAGTGCATTCTCTAGCATTGTTGAATCAGAATCAGAACATGGTTTTTTAAAAAATAAATAACAGTCAGTTGGGTTCTTCAGCAACAGTTCATGAATATCATGTTTGTTTTTATCTGCTTAATACTTGTAGTTTTATTATATGTATATTCTGTATAATTTGGTTCAAATCTGAATATATGGCATTTTTTTTACATTTATGTATATGTATTCTTTATACGTGTATTTTACATTTTCAGTTCATTTGGATGTCCTTACTCACAACTTAATATGAACAAAGAAACGGCACTTCAAGATAGGCTTGGTCCATCAAAGGCATCAGTAATAGATATTGCAAAGAGACAATATGAATGGAGGTATAGTGGAACAATAGCAAAAATAATGCCTCAGAATAATTCTACAGATGTTTTGAAGTATGATTAATATTTATAAATTTTCAGAATTAATAGTGATTATTAATTTTGATTCTTGATTTAAATTAAATTTTTGTGGAAAGTTTAGTTTTTAATTGAAGATAATGGATGGAAATGGTATTTCATCACACTACATCTGTTAATACTAAATATCCTTGTTAAATAATAACAGTGGACTAATTTGATACAGTGTGTCCTTAAAACAATCTCCAAGGAATTTTTTATGTAACTAAACTATATATATACAGTGGAACCCTGGTTAACGAACTTAATCTGTTCTGCGACTCCGTTCATTAACTGAATTGTTCATTAACCGAAGCAATTTTTCTTATAGAAATTAATGCAAATGCAATTAATCCGTTCTAGTCTCCGAAATTATTGTCATTTTATTTTTAATATACAGTAATTTTCTTTGATGAAAATGTAGGAAAATGTAGTATCTATCATTACAGCAACAAACATGTAAACTTTGTTTAATAAAATAGCACTGAACATACNCTTGTCTATTAATAGGACTTGTTATACTGGTATGGTGTAATTTCTAATTAGCAAAGAGAGGAGATGTTAGTCTAGTTATTTATTAATAGGACTTACTACACCAGTGTAATAAGTCCTATTAATAAATAAGATCCAAAGTAGACAAGGATGTAAACAGAAATTGATAAGAGCAAGGACATAGTAATATATATTAATTCTTTTTGCCTCTATTTAATTTATATTCATTATAATTGAGTTTTCCTTAATCTTTCAATAAATTCATACAATTTTCTTTTATCTCTTACAGTGCTGATTAATCTGTTAGAAATAAAAATAATTATTTGCTTTTGTCTTCATCTGGCCAGTTATTTTGTATCCAGTTATATTGATTGACTATGCATGAGTTATTACTATTTATCTGAAAAATTACTTCATAAGAATTTTTTTATGAAGTCCTTTTTCAGATAAATCATTTATTTCAAATATGAGAATTTTGATTTTAAATAAATAGTAATAAGTTGTAAGAAAGTTGTTGATTATTAATTTTCTGTTTTAAAATTTTTAGGCTTTACTTCTCAAGAGTTTAATTGGAATCATTACTTACAAATCAGTAAAGCTCAAGCAGCACCAAAACATTTGTTTGCTTGTAAAAATTTACAGGTAATTTTGTGAATATGCTAATATAACTTTAAAAAAATTTAATTTTTACATTTTTTAAACTAAAAAAATAATACATCTTTATTTTGCTAATTTTTGAAAGATAAATCAAAATTATAAGGTATGTATTTTTTATTTTAAATTCAAAATCTTGTACTGACATTTTGTACTTAAGCTCGTAATCAAATAATTTTAAAATTACAGTAGAGCGTCGTTTATCCGAATCAATTGGGGACTGGGGTAGTTCGGATAACTTATTTTTCGGATAACGAATCATGTACGAAAAAATATATTAATTTATCCCATGTTGAAATTTCTCTCCGTTGCGTGTCGCTTCGCGTTGAATTTTCGTCGATGTTAAGCCTAATGAAGACTATTGTATCGTTAAAAACTATTTTTTTTTATTTTGTACAAACAAAATAAATTTATTGAAAAATATAAAAACAATAAAAAATTATACTTCAGATGTTAATTTAGTATCAAAAACGTAAAATATTTGAGTAGCCCAAGAAATAGCTGAAGATTGCAGCGCCACAGCACTAGCGAAAATTTAAATTTGCCGACTGGAATGCTTTCGGATAACAGACGTTTCGGATAACCAGCTTTCGGATAAACGACACTCTATTGTAAAACAATGGAGCTTCAAAAATATCATTTGAGAAAGAGAGAGATTGAGTATTTCAAAATAATTTTATATTTTTATTCTACCTTTACACATTTCTTTAACATTTATATTACATTAAAACTTATTTTTTTCAATTGTAAAATGTTCTTAATGTTTTACAGCCTAATTGCATTATTATTTTTTCAAACATATTCTTTTTATGTTTTTTTTTGTATAAAAAAAAAAATTCTCTGAAATTTCAATTTTGGAGAATATATACTGCTGGCCATTAAAATTGCTATACCAGGAAGGAAAGCAAATAGCAGAATTATGTTTATTACACACACACAGTATAATGGGAGGAAGACGTGATTAAATTGACAAATAACCTTGAGGTACAGAGCACTCAGCATGTTGCACCTTTCATGAAATTTTGTTTTTATTGTGGCCCATCTTCATGGTGTAGCAATTTTAATGGCCAGCAGTGTAGATGTTGCATATAATTATGGAATTCCTTACACAATACTTGATATGACCAACTAGACTCAGTATCTAGAAGTATCCAAAACTTTAACTTTTTTTTTTGTTTTTAAATTATGTGTTTTTTTTTTTTTTTATCTGATCAATGTTTTTCTTGAGATTTCCATTTATATGAAATTTGAAAAATAAATCATGAGAGAGATTCAAAATGTCATCATGTATAATTCTAATTTTTTAAAAAGAATCATTTTTAATTATTTGATTAAATCTGGATATTTATGATCAGTTCTGTATGTTATCATCATTTGGCAAATATGGAACAAACTAGCTGTTTCTTCATACAGGTTCAATTCTATTAAAAATAATGGAATAACTTTTCACAAAAAAGACCTGTAGACATATTTGAACTATTTACAATAGACATGGTAATGGAATAGTGATCTTATTCTACAGCTAAAACTTTGTAAAATCCAGTAAGAGAAATAATATAAATAGTTTGAAATTGTATTGGAAAAGGATAAAAATTAATATCAATAACTCAACACCTTCTATACTTTTCTAGTAGTGTTTTAATCTAGATTAAAACACTGCTGGAAAATAATAGAAGTATAGAGTTATTGATAATTTGGTTTGTATTTCCAGTTTTTTCCTACAAGTATGTTTATAAAAATTAATGCAGTAAGAATTTTGAAATATAAATTATGTAAGTTATATTTAATTATTAGCCATAAAATATAAGATATCTTATTACTTTCACTTTTTAAACAAACAATAACCAGTTTTAATCTTTTATATTCTTTGTATTTACATTTGTTTGAAGTAGCATTCAATCAAATTAAATTTTTAATGTAGATATTTCTTATGTATGATTTGTATAATGTCTTTTGTCTTCATTTTTTATTTATATTTTTTATTCATAATTAGATAAATTAATTGAACAAGAAATATTACATTTTTTTATGAAAAAATAATTTTTAGGTATTCATTTTAATATATATGTAGGCACAAAGAAACTTCCAGCATTGCATGAGTATATTCATATAGTGTAATAGTATTCTATTGTGATGTTTATATTAAAGTAAGTTCATTCATTCAGAAAAATGATATGTGTAAATCTATGTAGTAGTTCTGAGGCAATAACTAAAGTTTTCAAACATAAAAATAAGATAAAAATTTAAAATGCAATTTTGACAAATTATGCTAAAAAAGAATTTTTAACAATCCTTGTAAAAAAGCCAATATCAATGCAGTCTGTTAATTGGTAGAAGATACTTCAATAAGTGTCAGTTTTGTTCAGTTGCTTGCCGTGTACTCTCCACCAGTTCCAGTTTAATCAAGGATGGTATGTCACTACAGTCTTTGACCTGCATATTGGATCAGCTTTCCATGAATTGCCTGATCATTATCTGACCATATTCTCATTCATGACGTCCAGTCCATACATTTCACACAACTGTTGGTGGATCTCTGCTAGTGTGAGCTTTTTAGTTTGTGAGGTACTTGCTGTAATCAGGTTTTTGCATTCAGTGGGTGACTGTATGAGAGTGGCCATCTTTTCTTTAGCACTGTGCTCTCCATGGAGCAGCATATACACTAGATTATGATCAAATATTCCTCCTTCATGCCTGTGCAAGTTCACCTCACTCCAATCTCCAGAACCACTTCCTGGCACTTTCAGAACTTATTTTCTGGACACCTCTCATATATAGTATGGAATAAAAATTAAATAAAGAAAAGTAAAGAACAAAACTGTTTTTAACATACTGCATGCCACCAGGTCACACTCAGAACTGGCATCATGTGTTGCGTATATCATGGAAACCAAAAAAATGTGACCACATGGCAAACTACAGCTGTACTACAGTCCACCAAATTCAAGACTAGCCACTTTCCAAATTAGCCAGTTTTCTGTTAGTTCCAGATATTTGGTTCAGTACTACAGAGCAAAATAAAGTTAACTGTTTTTGTATTAATTATTTTTGTATTGGTCTTTATTCTTTAGAATCAAAGATTTTTTGTTATGTATATTTTAAAATGATTCTTTTCCATTATTCTTGCACTTGAGAGAGATGGGAAAATTTATGTATTGTCTTGGAACTGCTGTGCAATTTACACATGTATTATATGCATATACTATACTTCTACTTGTGCAATGCTGGAAAGATTTTTTTGTACCTGAATAAATAGTAAAGTGAATACTCTGTATATATGTAATAGTAATAATTACCTATATAGCAATTTGTAAAATTATTTGTAATTATAGACTGTGACACCACATGGATTCAGAGTGGGAATGAAATTGGAAGCTGTTGATAGAAAAGATACATCTCTTGTATGTGTTGCTTCAGTAACAGATGTCATGGATAACAGATTTCTTATTCATTTTGATGGATGGGATGATATATATGATTACTGGGCTGATCCAACATCTCCATACATCCATCCTGTAAACTGGTGCAAAGAAACAGGAAATGTACTTATTCCACCCAATAGTGAGTTTTCAAAGTAAAATTTAATTAAAATTTTTTTACTATTTTTCAGAAATATTATAAGAATGAAAATATATTCAAATTGCATGGAATTTGGCCACATTGTTAGATTATGTATTTTCAATTAGAATAATCAAGTGGTAATATATCTCAGTTCAAATATGCTTGAAAATTATATTTTTGCAAAAATCTTGACATATGAGAGATTTGAGAATTAAAAGACGTATAGTAGATGCCACTTATTGTAATTGTAAATATTGTTATCAGTCATCTAATATTATCAAAATCAACTCATCCCGAAACAAATTAAATAATGTTACAAAACTTTCACTATTGTAATCAGAAATTCACTTACTGTTAGTAACATAATGATAAAGTTGGAATTTATTTAGATTGTCAGTTGGCTATTATTAACTAAGACAATAAAGGTTAAAAGCCATGTAATTCCAATTCAAACATTAGAACAATGGACTATACCATGGACTACTGGAAACTTTAATTAAATAAATATTAAATGTAAATTATAATTCACACTACCACTGACATTCTCATCTCTTAGAAGCCATAAATTAGATAGCTAGGATTAAATTTAAGTAAAACAAACTAAGAATATCACCACCAACAAGTGCAGTATAAATAATGTAAATAATGTGAAATAAAGTGTGCCATATGTACAATGCCATGGGAATTTCAAGTTTCCCCTAATAATTTTATCTAGATTAAAGATGATGCCAGACCATCAGTTGCCAGAAATTTGGTGGTACACCTGTATTAGAAAACTTTACCACTCATATACAGATTGAACTATTCCTACAGAACAGTGTGATTTGCGATCTAAGGTATATTAGGAAATTCATTCCAACCTTACACATGATCAAATAATTACTGGCATAGGAAATGATGTACTTGAAAAATAACTATCCCAAAAGGGTTAAATTATAAGAATTTTCTTATCTGAATGGAATGCGATAAAAATTACATCATTATGATTTTTATTTTTATCATTTTTATATTGTTTGCAAATAAAAAGTTATATCGTCTAATTTTTTGTACTTTTACAGATTACAGAGATCCTGACAGATTTACATGGGAAAAATATTTATCAGAAACAAAAGCTCAAGTTGTTCCCAATCGAGCCTTTAAACGACGCCCACCACATGGTTTTAAAAAAGATATGAAACTAGAAGTGGTAGATAAAAGAAATCCCATGTTAATTCGTGTTGCTACTATTGCTGATACTCAATCTCATGCTATTAAAATTCATTTTGATGGTTGGTCAGATGCTTATGATTATTGGTTAGATGATGATTCACCAGATATTCACCCAGTTTCTTGGTGTACTAGAACTGGTCATCCTCTTCAGCCTCCTATAAGTATGTTATGAATTTTATAATTTAAATCTGTATTCTAATTATTAAACATAAACAATTAATAGTTTTTAAATTTCTGATAGATGGTGAAACAGATTAATAAAACTTTTTCAATCTGTATTAATATTATAATTTTAAAAAATATTATAGAATGTTGAAGAAAGCAATTATTTAATCTTGGGATAAAATGATTGATAGATTGATTTTAAACTATTTTATAACATTGAATCATATATAAATAATATCTTCAATATATGTAAATTTATACATACTTAACACACAATTTATTTGTTGTTTTAGGTGAAATGACAATAACTAATTCTAGTGGATGCCCAACAACTGGTTGTCAAGGTATTGGACATATAAAAGGTCCTAAATATACCAGTCATCACAGGTATTATTACATTAATTCAATAAATATAATATAAAAATATTTTTGTAAACTGTAATGCTTTATTTCACAAAGGTTCTAAATGAAAACAACTGCTTTGTGTATTTTTAATGCCAAATGATTGCTGGGCTATATTAAAGCTACTGTTAATAATTGAATATTTTATTTAATGGATTTGGAAATAATTTAGGTAGTTTTAAGTTTAATCTAAGATGACATGAAATTTTAAATGTGATATTTTGAATTTTTTCACACACAACTAAGAATAGAAATTTCTGAATTTATGAATTAAATAAAATGTAAAACTCACAGATAACAGTGAGTGAAATAGTACTTAAAATAATTAAAATTTTAAACAACTAATATTACATTTTTTGAATATTCAATTCTTTTATAATGTCTGTAATAGTGATAGAAAACAAAATAGTTGACTTGTTTCATTATTACAAACACTAAATATGATACCATTTAGAGATTGTATAGGTATGATTATGACATACAGTTTATGCATAGGCAACCCAAGGATTTGCAAGGCCTTAGGCAAAATTTATTTTTTTGAAGCTCATTAAAAGAGCAGTGGCGGTAGAGGGTAGATTTATTTAGGTCTATCATAATATGAACATTTTTAATATAGAAACAGAAAGTACATATTTTAATTATTTTAAGTTTTACAATAAATTAAAAAATTCAATAGGTTTACAAGGTCCAAAATGTTTCAGAAACAATTCTTGTACCAAAATTCCATAAAAAAATCAAAACATTTTAATAACTAAACTTGACTACAAAAGTTATAATTTCAACAACAATAAATTAGTATAAAATTCAAATATTACAATTTCAAATTCAGTACAGTAGAGCATCGATTATCTGACCCCCGATTAACCATCACATCGGTTAACCGACCGTTCTAATCGGCAAATTTCAAATGTCCGCTAGTGATGTAGCACTGCAATATTTGTCTATGTCTTGGCTACTTTAATATTATTTTTGTTAAATTTTTGTATGTTTTAGCTGGCAACACGGCTCGACCATTGAAGGGAAGCCAGTATTTAAATGAGACTTAATTTTCTAATTATGAATGGTTGTTTGTTTTGTGAGCAATAAAATATTTTAAAAATAATTTTTAACGATACAATAACAACGATTATTATTAAAAAAATAATTTTGTTAGGCTTAATATCGATGAAAATTCAATGCAAAGTTGGTTAATAGCGATATACTAATTACATGGTATATACTAAAAAATACATTATTAATATAGTATATTTCGGTTATCCGACCAACCTGAGTCTCCAATTGAGTCGAATAATCGATGCTCTACTGTATTTACAACAAAATTAATTATTAGTACACTTTACAATGTTTGAAATTTTAAATAATCATAATAATTAACTTGATTAGGGAATGGACTCTAGCAGACGAAAAACCCTTAATCAGCACCAATTATTCAATCACTTTACACTCTGACCAGAAGGTGTGAAGACTAACCAGTTGTGGGATGCAATTTTATATATTATTCCAATGTTGTTATGAAATTATACAGTTGGAAAGTATTTAGATAGATGTTGAGGTTTTACATAACTCAATCCAAAAACTCGATAACTGAAACAAAAGAAAAAAAACAATGTAAGTAACTAAATATTACTATAAATAAAAATCTCTCTTGCTATTACAGTGGGGAATACACTTACTCCCAACTGCTGGGGATAAGTGCATTCTCTAGCATTGTTGAATCAGAATCAGAACATGGTTTTTTAAAAAATAAATAACAGTCAGTTGGGTTCTTCAGCAACAGTTCATGAATATCATGTTTGTTTTTATCTGCTTAATACTTGTAGTTTTATTATATGTATATTCTGTATAATTTGGTTCAAATCTGAATATATGGCATTTTTTTTACATTTATGTATATGTATTCTTTATACGTGTATTTTACATTTTCAGTTCATTTGGATGTCCTTACTCACAACTTAATATGAACAAAGAAACGGCACTTCAAGATAGGCTTGGTCCATCAAAGGCATCAGTAATAGATATTGCAAAGAGACAATATGAATGGAGGTATAGTGGAACAATAGCAAAAATAATGCCTCAGAATAATTCTACAGATGTTTTGAAGTATGATTAATATTTATAAATTTTCAGAATTAATAGTGATTATTAATTTTGATTCTTGATTTAAATTAAATTTTTGTGGAAAGTTTAGTTTTTAATTGAAGATAATGGATGGAAATGGTATTTCATCACACTACATCTGTTAATACTAAATATCCTTGTTAAATAATAACAGTGGACTAATTTGATACAGTGTGTCCTTAAAACAATCTCCAAGGAATTTTTTATGTAACTAAACTATATATATACAGTGGAACCCTGGTTAACGAACTTAATCTGTTCTGCGACTCCGTTCATTAACTGAATTGTTCATTAACCGAAGCAATTTTTCTTATAGAAATTAATGCAAATGCAATTAATCCGTTCTAGTCTCCGAAATTATTGTCATTTTATTTTTAATATACAGTAATTTTCTTTGATGAAAATGTAGGAAAATGTAGTATCTATCATTACAGCAACAAACATGTAAACTTTGTTTAATAAAATAGCACTGAACATACCTTCGTTTGTTATAGTTGGTGGCAGAAAAGTGGAGATATACGAACCTTAATGCTTAGAAGGGAAATCCCCTCCAAAAAAATAATGGGTAGCACTTCATCGGAAGATTCTTCGAGTCAAAGTCTCTTTCGGTAAAAAACCCACCAGTGGCTAAGTGGTTTTCGTACCCTGAACACGGAGTTCGTTCGTGGGTTCGCACCTCGCTCAGACGGGCTGGCCACATGGAGTTTTCTGGGATTTCTCCACGTTTGTAATGCCTAAATAGGGGCCAGTTTCCCTTAAAACACCTTTCAGAAGGCATTCCCCCTAGTCAGATCGCCCAAGTGTTGCGTTGCCATAACTTAACAAAGAAACAAACTCTTTCCGTAAGGAGCAAAAAATTGATCTAAAGTTGATTGTCCTACACTTTTAATCAAAATCTTTCTCAAATGCGATAGCGCGTTGTCGTTTTCTATTGACACTATGACTTTTTTCTTTCTTTGATGCCATATTGATTAAATATATAAATCACAAAACTGAAAAAAGAAGTACAGCACAAACACTCGGAAAAGCAATGCTTAACTCGCACATGCCTAACACCAACTAAAATTTGACACAAAATACCATTACGTTCGTTATCCGAGACAAAATTTTTGCAAAATAAAAGTTTGTTAACCGATTTGGTCGTTAACCAGCACGTTCGTTATCCGGGGTTCCACTGTATATATATTCCATAAAATTCAATTACATAAAATTGATATTTTTCTGAAAATTGCTATAAATTTAATAAATTGAAATTAAAATCTCTCCTCTCTTTATAAAAACTTTTTAATATTAATAGTAATTCTTATTTGCAAATTTTGAAACATTTTTTTTACCTTTTTTAAAGTTCAATAAAAGCATACATAATTTCTTGTCTACATTCTAGCATAATAAATATAAAAAATTACAAGGTAATTGTTGGTTATTTCTACAAATCCATGTCTCTTCATTTTGGACATGAATAATGAAAAATATATTCATACTTTCATGTTTTATACAATTGTGTAAAACATGTAATGAAAGTACAAATTTTATACATGTTTTATTTAATTGCACTTTGAATTAGATTTAAAAGTTGTAAAATTGAAAATTTTTATTAGAATTATATGATAGTATTTCACGTTTTATGTATTAGACTTAGAATACAAGCTCATCAAATGGACCATATCATATTTACTTATAGCTCAATGAAATAATTAGTCTCTAGTGAATAAGTTTCATTCTTTCACATTGGTTCAGTAAGAGTATTACATAAGAATAGATTTTACTTCATTTTAATAGTACCATTTTAATGCTGTTATAATATTCATTTTGAGAAGAAAACCCATTGCAATATATGAGCATAGAAATTAGTTATTTCATTTGACAATAGTATTATCTATTGTCATCATATAGATTAGAAATAATACTAGGTTCTGAATTTATTCATAATTCAAATAAATCTTGTTTTCAGTGTTAATATTGAATTTTTTTAATTATGTCATCAGTGATATTTTAAATGTGTTTTTCACCTTCATAATTTCTGTTTTATTTATAAGCTTTGTTTCTGGTGAGTTATTTGCAAACATATTTGTGTTGGGATTTGCAGTGTCATTAAATTTTATCTTTATTTTTCCTAACTTTTTCAAGAAATTTATCAAAACCCAAACACAAACAATTGCCAGATTAGATCAGACAATTGTTTGGCTTTAATATGACTTTTATCTATCAGGCTTAGAGATGTTTAATTTCTTATGAATATGTTCATTAATCATAACATAAAAAGGAGTCTGTTCCTGTTTTTAAAAAAATTTGTAAAAGTCCACAAATTTCTTTCAATATGTGTATATTTGAACAGTCTCTAACATCACTACCTATAGACCAAAAATACAGTAACACACAACTTTGCATTCAGTTGTTATTATTTTGGAAGTAGTAAATTAATAAAACAAATTATTATTCATATAAATTTAAGAATATATGATCTAAATAATGTGCAACTGGCTAATCAGAGTTGTTATCATTTAATTGACTACTGTTCCTTCACCCAAGTATTGGCACTTTATCACTTCTGATGCAAAACCTGATGATGCTTGCATATTATGAAAATATTTTAAAATTTTTGTTATTTTCAATGTTTCTTTGAAATATAATTATTGCTTTTTGAAATATATTACTTTAAATTATTGTTAAGTTAGTTCTGAAAATTACTTTATCATTTGAGAGAGATTTTTTAACCCCTTTTATTTAATTTTACAGGTTTCTGTTAGACAGTATTAAAAAAACAATGAAATTCATTATGTTAATTCTGTTTCAATGACAGTCACAACTAACAAAATCAAGTGTACTTTTCAAACTTGTTCAATGTTTCTGTTAGTCAATTTACTAATTCATACTATTCTTAAGATGTATAACTATTATTTAATTTTTCCCAACAAAGGGACTTATACAGAAAATTCAGAGTCAACTAGCAATCACATAACCAAAGCATTTACTGGGTAGATCAGCTAGTGTGTGTATGTTTATATACACATAAATAATCTTATATATAATCATATATGTGTATTTCTTCACATTTCATTATATAAAATTTAATATCCATCTTTCATGACATGTTTTCTAAATATATTATTTTTCTATGAGGTTTAAATAAAACTTCTTAAGAAAATTATATAAATAATGTAAATATTACAATATGCTTGAAAGAAATAAAATTAACTTACTTACACTTAGTTATTCATATAACCAGATATGCTGTTATACTTTTATAATCAAATTTGTAATATTACAGTTTTTTCACATATAAAATTATATTAATTACTTCTGGTATTAGACAAAAATATTATGTATCTTACATTAATACTAAAAATTATAAAGAACATTAATATAGTCTTAAAGTTATATATAAACATATCACATATTTGTATGTTTCTTTGCAGATACAATATATGTTCATCAGAGGAAAATAAAGAAATAAAATATTTAGGTTAGTATTTTGTATATTTTATTTCAGAAAAATTTACTATAAAATTCAATGGTCTGATGATTTAATAATTTTAATCTGTGATTAAAATGATAAATTACTTTTGAAATTGTCAGTTATAGCATAAAAATAAAGTTTAATTAACACCCTGTTTAATTAATAGTATTAAGAAATTAGACTGACGAAATATAATGTGTGGTAGCATGGGTCAATAAAGCAATTTTGTTCCTATGAAATACAGGCTCCTTCTAAATTTTTGGTAGTGTTTGCAGTCCTGTGATGCATGAATTTAATTCTATTAATAAATTGATATCAGTTTAGAATAATTTGATAAATTAAATTTATCTTATTAAAATTATCAAGAGATGGGAGCTTCACTACCTATCACTATCCAAATTGATTTCTGTTATTAGCCAAGTTATTAATCTTAATATAGCCCAATAGATAATCTGGCAGATTGTTTGACACCAAGACATCTAACATGCCAAAATTTTAGCTTGACTGTTAAGATATTTTACAAAAATAATTATGCTGCATTAGAGATACCATCACAATAGAATTATAAAATTTTAAAGTGGGAAGATGATTATTTTAAAAATTCTAATGTATCATAATCAGATGGCAGGTTATCATCAAACATCCCAAGAAAGGACTGTAATATGAATTTTGATAGTAAATAATTTGATTCTGTTGATGGATAATTTTCATTTATGTAACCATTTGTGAAAACTCACAGAATTTCATACCTGGTCTCAGTGAAGAGGTTTTTTTTTCTTTACATCAAACAATTTCTATTATTATCCTTGTTATCAAGCATCTTGTAAATAATGGAGCAAAATATGTATTAGCTTCAAAGAGATATAGGCCAAATCTTAATTCCAAAGTAAAAGTTTTCTGGTGTTAATTACCAGTTTTATTCAAATAATAATTGCCCTCAAATCCTCAAATAGTAGCCATGGTCATTCATATTATTTCAGAATTTCTGAACTTCATGCTACACTTCACAGATTTATGAAAAGTTTGTAAAATTATGGAATCAAAGTTTACAGTATTTATTATATAGATAAGTACCATATTTATTTATTTAAGAAATAAATTTTAGAAAATGAAATATGTAAAATGTAGAATATAAAGTAACAACTAAAAAGTATATGTACTGTATTTTTTGTTACTGGTTAATAGTCATTATAAAGAAAGATACATTGTTGCCATTTCAAGTATAGTTTATATTAAAAATCAAACTTTTCATAAATATTGAAATACTTTGTTATCCATTTAATGCCTGTTAATCCATTTAATTCCCACAGCAATGATAATTCATTGCTGTGGGAAATAACTGTCCTCACATACTAACCACAAAGAAAATAGGCAGTTTAAAATATCAATAGTAGTCGTAGCTATTATTTTAAAACTGGCATAATAGTTCAACAAATTTTAGAATTGGAACATAAAATGAAAGATTACTACAACTACATGCAAATAGGTGTAAATAAAATAGGTGTAATCTCTAGTTACACATATTCTGATAAAGTTTTAAATAACTATACATGCCAAATATTAATAGCAAAAGATAACATATATCACTGTCTGTTGGCATTGTGTAAAATTTATATATTGATGAAAGTACTTGTAAAATAAATTACTGTCCTCTTCAGGCAGAATCATTCATAGTGAACAAAACATTTGAAATTCAAGAAAAAGAACCAGAACATCAACCAACATTTTTTCAAATTGCTTGTCCTGCATGTGCATAGAAAATTTAAATTGCAATTCAATAATATATAAAAGAAAAACATCAAGAATAAAATTGGATTAAAATAAAATATGTTAATAATAATAATAATAATAATAAATTAAGCAGTCAATAAACAAATAATAAACATAAAACACTCATAGAAGCACTGCCTTGCTTTATCAGAAGCCATGTGATTTACAACTTTAGAAGATTAAACAGTGTTATCCACAACTTTGGTATATCTAGTGTGTGAGAGCTGCGCAGTGACATTGTTGAGATGTAAAGGGATTCCCATATGAATGTTTTTCAATCCCCATAGCATTTTAAGAAGGAAGTTTGAGCCACTTTGGTTGAACATTGCAAGAGGGTTATGTTATTCAGTGATGAGGAATTATTAGAATTTTTATATATAGATCAGATAATAGAGATATGAATGATTTTTCATTTAGTGAGGAATTAATCAAGATTTTGACGTGACAGGTTTTGTGGTGCCTTCATCTAGTAAAATAATCTAATGTTGATGCTGAATACAACCACATAACAATATAAAACAACTTTTTTTTACACATTAAATATAATGTATAAAAAAATTGGTGTATTTTCATTCATAAATAACACTTTTTCTAAATGACTGGAACATTAGGCTTAAGTAGAAATAAACTTGACTTGTGAGTTTTATGATACTTTCTAGCAACCAGTCTTGAATGAGTTAAATTTCTTTAATATATCAAATAATCTTCATTAGAATATGTAATTTACTAATTAAATTTATGTAATTATATAAATTATATATGTTTAACATTACCATCTGTAAATATTGTTTTAGTTGTTCCTATATGTCATTTAGATAATTTTTTAATATTTCAAAAATTGTTATGACAATACTTTTAAGGAATGTTGCAAAACCTTATAATTTATAAAATTAACACAAATATATCTATATTATAAACCTATTGTAGAAATAGATGGAAAATGTTCCAAATGCCAAAATCCTTATGTTTGTTACGATATGTACTAGTGGTGACACTAGTGGCCACCCCAGCAGTCATCCATCATAGGTCATAGAGCACACCATGTCTCTCTCTTCTTGTAAAGTGTTTAGTTGTAATAAATAATACATTAAGTTGGATAGTCGTCTTAATAGTGCAGTATACAATATATAATATAACATAGTGTCAGAATTATAGTCGTCGTCTTTGTCTTCCTACTAGCAACAGTTTGAAATAATGAGTTCACTGGTCAGTAATAAAGGTCAGCCATTTTTAACTTTGTCCTGTTTAAGTGCTCAACAGGAACTAGTCGGCAATTCAGTTCCATCATTATTATTAGAAGGAAATTTAGCTCATAACTGGTGAATCTGATATCAGAAATTTAAAATATTTTTGCGGGCTAGTAATTTAGAAAGTGAAAGTGATTCCCGTAAAGTCGCTATATTTTTACATTTTGTCAGAGAAGATGCATTACAGGTTTTCAATTCCTTTAACTTGGATATGGACAATTGTCAATATTTGGATTTAGTAAAAAAATTTGAGTCTCATTGCAAACCTAAAACCAATCTCACAATTCAGAGATATAATTTTTTGACCAGGAGACAAAAACCAGACAAGTCAATTGAAGACTTCCTAACTGCACTTAAGAATCTAAGCCTTACATGTGAGTTTGATAATCTCCAAGAGAGTTTGGTCGAAGATATGTTTATTGTTGGTTTGTTGTCAAACAATAAAGTCATCAGAGCTAGGCTACTTCAGGAAGAAGGCTTAACCTTAATGAAGGCCATCAGCATAGCCAAAAGCATTGAAATTACTCATCGTCAGGTAGAGCAGATTGAAAGGAACAGTGATGCACAGATACTCAGTTGAAAAGTTCAACCACAATCATATTCGTCATGGAAATCTACAAAATAGAGCAACAAGTAGTGGAAGGAGGACAGTCTTAGGTGGTCATCGAGAATCGTTATCGTCAAGGTTTCGTCAAACAGGTCAGGGCAATCAATTATTATGTATGCATTGTGGACAGGTAAACTGAAATAAATGTCCTGCTATTAATGTTGTCATACTAGACAAGTAAAATATGTTAATGATGATCATGACAATGATAGTAATAAGGCAGATCTGTCATTAGATCTATTAATAGTTATAGCAATCAATTGAGTGAGTCCTGGATCCTAAAATTTAAAATTAATAACAGTGTTAGAATGCAATTTGGATACGGGTGCTCAGGCTAATGTAATGTCAGTAAGAAATAAAAGTTTAAAAATTGCTAGAAAAATACAGCATACAGATTACATCATTCTCAGGAAATGATATACCAGTTTTGGGGAAGGTGTTAGTCAATGGTTTAATCAATGATAATTTGTCAGCTAGTATTGATTTTGTAATTACTAATACTGATAGTCAGACCATTATAGGGCTACCTACAATCCAAAGACTAAGTTTAGTCAAAAGAGTATTTAATATCAATAATCATGAGTCAGTCCTGTCTCAGTATAAAGATGTATTTGAGGGTCTTGGTTGTCTATCAGGTGAATATGAAATATCTGTTAACAAATTGTGCCAGTGATTGAACCGCCTAGGAAAATTCCATTTATGTTAAATGACAAGTTTAAAAAAGAACTGGAACGCATGCAATCTTCAGATGTTATAGCAAAAGTAAGTGAGCCTACTGAATGGGTAAATTCAGTTGTTATTGTCAAAAAGATAGATAAGTTATTGTGAGTCTGTCTAGATCCAAGAAATCTGAATTGAGCAATAAAGAGGTGTCATTATCCATTACCAACTGTAGAAGAACTGAGGTCAAAACTAACTGGTGCTAAGTATTTTTCAATTTTAGATGCACAATCTGGATTCTGGATGATAAAACTGAGTGAAGATAGTTTGAGGGTAACTACATTTAATATGCCTTTTGGTAGATTTAGATTTAAGTGTTTTCCTTATGGTGTGTCAAGTGCCCCAGAAATTTTCCATAAAATCATGACTGATTGGTTCTTAAGACATACAAGGAATCATGATATATCTTGATGACATACTGATTTATAGTCAAACATTAGAATCCCATAACGAGATACTGCAAAAAGTCCTAAAAAAAGTTCATCAAATCAATTTAAAGTCTAATAAAGATAAGTGTAATTTTCTAATGAAAGAAGTGAAGTATTTAGGTCACATTTTTAATCAAAATGGAATGTGTCCTGATCAAGCAAAAGTTAGTGCAATATGTCACCTACCATCACCTAAGGATATAATGGAGCTTAAACATTTTTTGGGAATGGTAAATTATTTGGGATCTTATATTGATAGGTTGATGGTTTTATCAGCTAAGTTATGTCTATTGTTAAAATAGAATATAGCATTTCATTGGTCAGAGAAACAGCAGTCAGAGTTTCAATTATTAAAGGAGGTAATAGGTAATGCCCCCATCCCATCCAGCCTGTAACATTGTCTGTGGATAGTTCAAAGGCAGCAGTTGATGCAGTCATACTACAAAACAAGAGACCCATAGTCTACTCATCAGTCATTGACAGAGTGTCAGTCATGTTATGCACAAAATAGAAAAAGAGCTGTATGCAATTCAGTATGGTTGTAATAGATTTCATCAATATATTTACGGTTATAGGATCATTGTGGAAACTGATCATAAACCTTTTGAGACATTATTTAATTAAGAAACCATTGTCTGAAGTGCCAGTGTGTCTACAGCGTATGATGCTGAATCTGCAATGATCTGAGTGTTACCTATGAACCAGGCAAATTCTTGTTCCTAGCAGATACTTTAAGTAGGGCTCCAGTAGATCCTCCTGATGGAGAGGATTCTCTAGAGGATGATCTCCGTATACATGCAAACTTATTGATGACTAATCTTGCAGTGTCCCCCGAATGTCTAGAAGAGATTAAAATAGTGACCCTGATGGATACAGATCTTCAAATCACTATAAAATACAGTCGACTCCCCTATAACACAGTTGATAATTGTTTTATATGAATTCCATGTTGTACGAGTCACTTAGATTTTACAAATAAGTGTACCAGGCAAGTCACGTATTTGTAAAAATATGAATTCCATGTTGCACAAGTCTTAGTGACTTGTGCAACATGGAATTCATATAAAACGGAATTATCAACACTGTTATAGGGGAGTCGACTGTATTGTCTTACTGAGTGGCCTACATCAAGAAATAAGCTTGACTGTCAATTAAAACCTTACTTCAATATACATCAAGAACTCCATGTCATTGATGGTTTATTGTTTAAAGGTCATCTACTTGTAATTCCTTTAAGTCAGCGTTTCTCAAAGTGGGCGATAACGCCCCCTTGTGGGCGCTGGAGGCTTTCAGGGGGGCAGTAGAAGGCTCAAAGAGAATTGGGGGGCGTTAAGGAAATTTAGAGGGGCGACGGCAGAAAAATTCTATATACAAGGTCTGTTCAAAAAGTATCGGACCTTTGGTCGGCAAAAATAAATTTATTGACTTTGAGGTACAAAACCCTAATCCCCTTCAAAGTAGTCTCCTTGGTAATGTATACACTTCTCCCAGCGTTCCTGCCATTGCTGNTTTCTTATAGAAATTAATGCAAATGCAATTAATCCGTTCTAGTCTCCGAAATTATTGTCATTTTATTTTTAATATACAGTAATTTTCTTTGATGAAAATGTAGGAAAATGTAGTATCTATCATTACAGCAACAAACATGTAAACTTTGTTTAATAAAATAGCACTGAACATACCTTCGTTTGTTATAGTTGGTGGCAGAAAAGTGGAGATATACGAACCTTAATGCTTAGAAGGGAAATCCCCTCCAAAAAAATAATGGGTAGCACTTCATCGGAAGATTCTTCGAGTCAAAGTCTCTTTCGGTAAAAAACCCACCAGTGGCTAAGTGGTTTTCGTACCCTGAACACGGAGTTCGTTCGTGGGTTCGCACCTCGCTCAGACGGGCTGGCCACATGGAGTTTTCTGGGATTTCTCCACGTTTGTAATGCCTAAATAGGGGCCAGTTTCCCTTAAAACACCTTTCAGAAGGCATTCCCCCTAGTCAGATCGCCCAAGTGTTGCGTTGCCATAACTTAACAAAGAAACAAACTCTTTCCGTAAGGAGCAAAAAATTGATCTAAAGTTGATTGTCCTACACTTTTAATCAAAATCTTTCTCAAATGCGATAGCGCGTTGTCGTTTTCTATTGACACTATGACTTTTTTCTTTCTTTGATGCCATATTGATTAAATATATAAATCACAAAACTGAAAAAAGAAGTACAGCACAAACACTCGGAAAAGCAATGCTTAACTCGCACATGCCTAACACCAACTAAAATTTGACACAAAATACCATTACGTTCGTTATCCGAGACAAAATTTTTGCAAAATAAAAGTTCGTTAACCGATTTGGTCGTTAACCAGGACGTTCGTTATCCGGGGTTCCACTGTATATATATTCCATAAAATTCAATTACATAAAATTGATATTTTTCTGAAAATTGCTATAAATTTAATAAATTGAAATTAAAATCTCTCCTCTCTTTATAAAAACTTTTTAATATTAATAGTAATTCTTATTTGCAAATTTTGAAACATTTTTTTTACCTTTTTTAAAGTTCAATAAAAGCATACATAATTTCTTGTCTACATTCTAGCATAATAAATATAAAAAATTACAAGGTAATTGTTGGTTATTTCTACAAATCCATGTCTCTTCATTTTGGACATGAATAATGAAAAATATATTCATACTTTCATGTTTTATACAATTGTGTAAAACATGTAATGAAAGTACAAATTTTATACATGTTTTATTTAATTGCACTTTGAATTAGATTTAAAAGTTGTAAAATTGAAAATTTTTATTAGAATTATATGATAGTATTTCACGTTTTATGTATTAGACTTAGAATACAAGCTCATCAAATGGACCATATCATATTTACTTATAGCTCAATGAAATAATTAGTCTCTAGTGAATAAGTTTCATTCTTTCACATTGGTTCAGTAAGAGTATTACATAAGAATAGATTTTACTTCATTTTAATAGTACCATTTTAATGCTGTTATAATATTCATTTTGAGAAGAAAACCCATTGCAATATATGAGCATAGAAATTAGTTATTTCATTTGACAATAGTATTATCTATTGTCATCATATAGATTAGAAATAATACTAGGTTCTGAATTTATTCATAATTCAAATAAATCTTGTTTTCAGTGTTAATATTGAATTTTTTTAATTATGTCATCAGTGATATTTTAAATGTGTTTTTCACCTTCATAATTTCTGTTTTATTTATAAGCTTTGTTTCTGGTGAGTTATTTGCAAACATATTTGTGTTGGGATTTGCAGTGTCATTAAATTTTATCTTTATTTTTCCTAACTTTTTCAAGAAATTTATCAAAACCCAAACACAAACAATTGCCAGATTAGATCAGACAATTGTTTGGCTTTAATATGACTTTTATCTATCAGGCTTAGAGATGTTTAATTTCTTATGAATATGTTCATTAATCATAACATAAAAAGGAGTCTGTTCCTGTTTTTAAAAAAATTTGTAAAAGTCCACAAATTTCTTTCAATATGTGTATATTTGAACAGTCTCTAACATCACTACCTATAGACCAAAAATACAGTAACACACAACTTTGCATTCAGTTGTTATTATTTTGGAAGTAGTAAATTAATAAAACAAATTATTATTCATATAAATTTAAGAATATATGATCTAAATAATGTGCAACTGGCTAATCAGAGTTGTTATCATTTAATTGACTACTGTTCCTTCACCCAAGTATTGGCACTTTATCACTTCTGATGCAAAACCTGATGATGCTTGCATATTATGAAAATATTTTAAAATTTTTGTTATTTTCAATGTTTCTTTGAAATATAATTATTGCTTTTTGAAATATATTACTTTAAATTATTGTTAAGTTAGTTCTGAAAATTACTTTATCATTTGAGAGAGATTTTTTAACCCCTTTTATTTAATTTTACAGGTTTCTGTTAGACAGTATTAAAAAAACAATGAAATTCATTATGTTAATTCTGTTTCAATGACAGTCACAACTAACAAAATCAAGTGTACTTTTCAAACTTGTTCAATGTTTCTGTTAGTCAATTTACTAATTCATACTATTCTTAAGATGTATAACTATTATTTAATTTTTCCCAACAAAGGGACTTATACAGAAAATTCAGAGTCAACTAGCAATCACATAACCAAAGCATTTACTGGGTAGATCAGCTAGTGTGTGTATGTTTATATACACATAAATAATCTTATATATAATCATATATGTGTATTTCTTCACATTTCATTATATAAAATTTAATATCCATCTTTCATGACATGTTTTCTAAATATATTATTTTTCTATGAGGTTTAAATAAAACTTCTTAAGAAAATTATATAAATAATGTAAATATTACAATATGCTTGAAAGAAATAAAATTAACTTACTTACACTTAGTTATTCATATAACCAGATATGCTGTTATACTTTTATAATCAAATTTGTAATATTACAGTTTTTTCACATATAAAATTATATTAATTACTTCTGGTATTAGACAAAAATATTATGTATCTTACATTAATACTAAAAATTATAAAGAACATTAATATAGTCTTAAAGTTATATATAAACATATCACATATTTGTATGTTTCTTTGCAGATACAATATATGTTCATCAGAGGAAAATAAAGAAATAAAATATTTAGGTTAGTATTTTGTATATTTTATTTCAGAAAAATTTACTATAAAATTCAATGGTCTGATGATTTAATAATTTTAATCTGTGATTAAAATGATAAATTACTTTTGAAATTGTCAGTTATAGCATAAAAATAAAGTTTAATTAACACCCTGTTTAATTAATAGTATTAAGAAATTAGACTGACGAAATATAATGTGTGGTAGCATGGGTCAATAAAGCAATTTTGTTCCTATGAAATACAGGCTCCTTCTAAATTTTTGGTAGTGTTTGCAGTCCTGTGATGCATGAATTTAATTCTATTAATAAATTGATATCAGTTTAGAATAATTTGATAAATTAAATTTATCTTATTAAAATTATCAAGAGATGGGAGCTTCACTACCTATCACTATCCAAATTGATTTCTGTTATTAGCCAAGTTATTAATCTTAATATAGCCCAATAGATAATCTGGCAGATTGTTTGACACCAAGACATCTAACATGCCAAAATTTTAGCTTGACTGTTAAGATATTTTACAAAAATAATTATGCTGCATTAGAGATACCATCACAATAGAATTATAAAATTTTAAAGTGGGAAGATGATTATTTTAAAAATTCTAATGTATCATAATCAGATGGCAGGTTATCATCAAACATCCCAAGAAAGGACTGTAATATGAATTTTGATAGTAAATAATTTGATTCTGTTGATGGATAATTTTCATTTATGTAACCATTTGTGAAAACTCACAGAATTTCATACCTGGTCTCAGTGAAGAGGTTTTTTTTTCTTTACATCAAACAATTTCTATTATTATCCTTGTTATCAAGCATCTTGTAAATAATGGAGCAAAATATGTATTAGCTTCAAAGAGATATAGGCCAAATCTTAATTCCAAAGTAAAAGTTTTCTGGTGTTAATTACCAGTTTTATTCAAATAATAATTGCCCTCAAATCCTCAAATAGTAGCCATGGTCATTCATATTATTTCAGAATTTCTGAACTTCATGCTACACTTCACAGATTTATGAAAAGTTTGTAAAATTATGGAATCAAAGTTTACAGTATTTATTATATAGATAAGTACCATATTTATTTATTTAAGAAATAAATTTTAGAAAATGAAATATGTAAAATGTAGAATATAAAGTAACAACTAAAAAGTATATGTACTGTATTTTTTGTTACTGGTTAATAGTCATTATAAAGAAAGATACATTGTTGCCATTTCAAGTATAGTTTATATTAAAAATCAAACTTTTCATAAATATTGAAATACTTTGTTATCCATTTAATGCCTGTTAATCCATTTAATTCCCACAGCAATGATAATTCATTGCTGTGGGAAATAACTGTCCTCACATACTAACCACAAAGAAAATAGGCAGTTTAAAATATCAATAGTAGTCGTAGCTATTATTTTAAAACTGGCATAATAGTTCAACAAATTTTAGAATTGGAACATAAAATGAAAGATTACTACAACTACATGCAAATAGGTGTAAATAAAATAGGTGTAATCTCTAGTTACACATATTCTGATAAAGTTTTAAATAACTATACATGCCAAATATTAATAGCAAAAGATAACATATATCACTGTCTGTTGGCATTGTGTAAAATTTATATATTGATGAAAGTACTTGTAAAATAAATTACTGTCCTCTTCAGGCAGAATCATTCATAGTGAACAAAACATTTGAAATTCAAGAAAAAGAACCAGAACATCAACCAACATTTTTTCAAATTGCTTGTCCTGCATGTGCATAGAAAATTTAAATTGCAATTCAATAATATATAAAAGAAAAACATCAAGAATAAAATTGGATTAAAATAAAATATGTTAATAATAATAATAATAATAATAAATTAAGCAGTCAATAAACAAATAATAAACATAAAACACTCATAGAAGCACTGCCTTGCTTTATCAGAAGCCATGTGATTTACAACTTTAGAAGATTAAACAGTGTTATCCACAACTTTGGTATATCTAGTGTGTGAGAGCTGCGCAGTGACATTGTTGAGATGTAAAGGGATTCCCATATGAATGTTTTTCAATCCCCATAGCATTTTAAGAAGGAAGTTTGAGCCACTTTGGTTGAACATTGCAAGAGGGTTATGTTATTCAGTGATGAGGAATTATTAGAATTTTTATATATAGATCAGATAATAGAGATATGAATGATTTTTCATTTAGTGAGGAATTAATCAAGATTTTGACGTGACAGGTTTTGTGGTGCCTTCATCTAGTAAAATAATCTAATGTTGATGCTGAATACAACCACATAACAATATAAAACAACTTTTTTTTACACATTAAATATAATGTATAAAAAAATTGGTGTATTTTCATTCATAAATAACACTTTTTCTAAATGACTGGAACATTAGGCTTAAGTAGAAATAAACTTGACTTGTGAGTTTTATGATACTTTCTAGCAACCAGTCTTGAATGAGTTAAATTTCTTTAATATATCAAATAATCTTCATTAGAATATGTAATTTACTAATTAAATTTATGTAATTATATAAATTATATATGTTTAACATTACCATCTGTAAATATTGTTTTAGTTGTTCCTATATGTCATTTAGATAATTTTTTAATATTTCAAAAATTGTTATGACAATACTTTTAAGGAATGTTGCAAAACCTTATAATTTATAAAATTAACACAAATATATCTATATTATAAACCTATTGTAGAAATAGATGGAAAATGTTCCAAATGCCAAAATCCTTATGTTTGTTACGATATGTACTAGTGGTGACACTAGTGGCCACCCCAGCAGTCATCCATCATAGGTCATAGAGCACACCATGTCTCTCTCTTCTTGTAAAGTGTTTAGTTGTAATAAATAATACATTAAGTTTGATAGTCGTCTTACTAGTGCAGTATACAATATATAATATAACATAGTGTCAGAATTATAGTCGTCGTCTTTGTCTTCCTACTAGCAACAGTTTGAAATAATGAGTTCACTGGTCAGTAATAAAGGTCAGCCATTTTTAACTTTGTCCTGTTTAAGTGCTCAACAGGAACTAGTCGGCAATTCAGTTCCATCATTATTATTAGAAGGAAATTTAGCTCATAACTGGTGAATCTGATATCAGAAATTTAAAATATTTTTGCGGGCTAGTAATTTAGAAAGTGAAAGTGATTCCCGTAAAGTCGCTATATTTTTACATTTTGTCAGAGAAGATGCATTACAGGTTTTCAATTCCTTTAACTTGGATATGGACAATTGTCAATATTTGGATTTAGTAAAAAAATTTGAGTCTCATTGCAAACCTAAAACCAATCTCACAATTCAGAGATATAATTTTTTGACCAGGAGACAAAAACCAGACAAGTCAATTGAAGACTTCCTAACTGCACTTAAGAATCTAAGCCTTACATGTGAGTTTGATAATCTCCAAGAGAGTTTGGTCGAAGATATGTTTATTGTTGGTTTGTTGTCAAACAATAAAGTCATCAGAGCTAGGCTACTTCAGGAAGAAGGCTTAACCTTAATGAAGGCCATCAGCATAGCCAAAAGCATTGAAATTACTCATCGTCAGGTAGAGCAGATTGAAAGGAACAGTGATGCACAGATACTCAGTTGAAAAGTTCAACCACAATCATATTCGTCATGGAAATCTACAAAATAGAGCAACAAGTAGTGGAAGGAGGACAGTCTTAGGTGGTCATCGAGAATCGTTATCGTCAAGGTTTCATCAAACAGGTCAGGGCAATCAATTATTATGTATGCATTGTGGACAGGTAAACTGAAATAAATGTCCTGCTATTAATGTTGTCATACTAGACAAGTAAAATATGTTAATGATGATCATGACAATGATAGTAATAAGGCAGATCTGTCATTAGATCTATTAATAGTTATAGCAATCAATTGAGTGAGTCCTGGATCCTAAAATTTAAAATTAATAACAGTGTTAGAATGCAATTTGGATACGGGTGCTCAGGCTAATGTAATGTCAGTAAGAAATAAAAGTTTAAAAATTGCTAGAAAAATACAGCATACAGATTACATCATTCTCAGGAAATGATATACCAGTTTTGGGGAAGGTGTTAGTCAATGGTTTAATCAATGATAATTTGTCAGCTAGTATTGATTTTGTAATTACTAATACTGATAGTCAGACCATTATAGGGCTACCTACAATCCAAAGACTAAGTTTAGTCAAAAGAGTATTTAATATCAATAATCATGAGTCAGTCCTGTCTCAGTATAAAGATGTATTTGAGGGTCTTGGTTGTCTATCAGGTGAATATGAAATATCTGTTAACAAATTGTGCCAGTGATTGAACCGCCTAGGAAAATTCCATTTATGTTAAATGACAAGTTTAAAAAAGAACTGGAACGCATGCAATCTTCAGATGTTATAGCAAAAGTAAGTGAGCCTACTGAATGGGTAAATTCAGTTGTTATTGTCAAAAAGATAGATAAGTTATTGTGAGTCTGTCTAGATCCAAGAAATCTGAATTGAGCAATAAAGAGGTGTCATTATCCATTACCAACTGTAGAAGAACTGAGGTCAAAACTAACTGGTGCTAAGTATTTTTCAATTTTAGATGCACAATCTGGATTCTGGATGATAAAACTGAGTGAAGATAGTTTGAGGGTAACTACATTTAATATGCCTTTTGGTAGATTTAGATTTAAGTGTTTTCCTTATGGTGTGTCAAGTGCCCCAGAAATTTTCCATAAAATCATGACTGATTGGTTCTTAAGACATACAAGGAATCATGATATATCTTGATGACATACTGATTTATAGTCAAACATTAGAATCCCATAACGAGATACTGCAAAAAGTCCTAAAAAAAGTTCATCAAATCAATTTAAAGTCTAATAAAGATAAGTGTAATTTTCTAATGAAAGAAGTGAAGTATTTAGGTCACATTTTTAATCAAAATGGAATGTGTCCTGATCAAGCAAAAGTTAGTGCAATATGTCACCTACCATCACCTAAGGATATAATGGAGCTTAAACATTTTTTGGGAATGGTAA